GTCGCTGTTCCGTCGGCCAGCGTCCGGCACGTCAGCGCGCGGTCGTGCGCGCTGATGCCCGTGGTTGTCAGCGGCGATTCCGTGTCGATGGATATGGTGTAGGCGGTGCGGTTCGGGTCTTGGTTTGAGGAGACCATTTGGGGGAGCGCGAGGGATTCGCAGAGGGATGGGGACAGAGGGGCGCAGATTAGACCCGAGGTGTGCCTGATCATGAAGGCCATTTTGGAGGGGGTTAGGTCGGCGGCGGCGATGATTAGGTCGCCTTCATTTTCGCGCGAGAGGTCGTCGAGGACGACTACGAATTCGCCGTTTTCTGAGAGGGGGGTTGTATGTTAGTTGGGGTTGTTTGCTCGCGGAAGAGGCGGGAGTGGGGTTTGATTGAGGGGGCGTTGACGAACTGAAAGCTTGGATTGTGTCTTCTATGGAGTCAAACTCCTGGGCAATGGATGCTGGCATGCTGGATTGCTTTTGTGTAGGTACTTGTAGATTTCGAAGAAAAGAAAAACTGCCCCGCGCCGGCTACAAGGTATATTTTGAAGGTGGGGTGGAGTGAGTAAGTTCGTTTGAGATGATTCTAAATTTCTAGAGGGTAGATTGGCTTTGATAGGAGAGAAGAGAATATCTGAACAACCAAGGAATAATCTTTCAGTTCGCAAGGAAAAGAATGTTTGAATATAATATACGAATCTAGTAAGCGGAACCGCAGAACAGACTGTCGGATTGATTTGATGTAAGACAAGACAAGGGTCCTTTTAAGCCGAGGCGGATTAGTCATGCCTCAAAATTGCTTTCCAAGCTTCACGTCTGCATCAGTCAGTCACTTCACAAAAGCCCAATTCCGGCCAAGAACCTTACACATCAAATCCTCAATGGCAATGGCAATGGCAACACCTCTCCGCCCCACCTCCCTCCGAAACCTCCATCTCCTCCTCCGAACAGCCCCCCGCTTCGTACACAACCAATTCGGGTCTCACAACACCAGCACCAACAGCAGCAGCGTCAACCCAACCGAAGTCTCCCATTTCAACGCCCTCGCTTCAACATGGTGGGATCCGCACGGCTCCTCACGCCTCTTGCATCTCATGAACCCGCTGCGCCACGACTTCATCCATCGATGCCACGGCATGCAGCCCGTGCCTCCCCCTTCAGCAAACCTGCGGTATCTGGATATCGGATGCGGCGGCGGCATCTTCGCTGAGAGCGCTGCGCGGTTGACGGGAACGGGACTCGTGACGGCGATTGATCCCTCGCCCGAAGTACTGGGCGTTGCTCAGGCGCACGCGAGGAGGGATCCGGGCCTGAGCGGGAAACTATCGTATTTGAATACATCGATAGAAGGATTGGCGAAGCCGGGGTCGGTTGAGGAGCAGTATGATGTGTTGTCGCTGTTTGAGGTCATTGAGCATATAACGCACCCGGCGGAGTTTCTGGATGCGTGTCAGGAGTATGTGAAGCCGGGGGGCTGGATCGTTATGAGTACGATTGCGCGGACGTGGACGAGTTGGTTTACGACGAAGCTGGTGGCGGAAGATTTGGTGGGGATTGTGCCGAGGGGGACGCATGATTGGGGGAAGTATATTAATGAGGAGGAGCTGAGGGGCTACTTTTTGGAGAAGAGAGGCTGGAATAGTCCGATGGTTATGGGTGTTGTGTACGTGCCGGGGCTGGGGTGGAAGGAAGTCAGTGGGAGTGAGAAGGTTGGGAATTATTTTTTCGGAATTAGAAAGGACGAGGTTTGAACAAGGCAGAACGGTGAGTTTGAGATTGGGGCAAAGAGCGTGGTTTGGGGCCACTAGAATCTCACCCTCACCCTCCCAAATTTACTTTGGTAATAGTCCTTGTAATATGTTGTAAGATAGAACCCTCGACTAGCAAGTTATGCTACGTCGCATTCGAAACATTGTACTTTACGTCTTATTTACTTATACTTAATCTTGTCTACTTGTCTAGCGTAGCGTTTATTCATTTGTTATAGTACTCTATTTCATTTATCGTTTTGACCTTTAATTACCAAAGGACGTGTTATTGTCAAAAAAATGGAATTGTTTTTTTCAAGATAGGAAGGCATCATCATGTCTGGAAATGCTACAAATTTTTGAAAGGAGATACTTGGTACCTGGTAGCTATTTCTTAAGCTGATTCCTTCCATTTCGTCGATACCCTCTTTATACAGCTCATGGTTCAGCCGACTTCGAATCCCATACAACACAGGCGTCAGAAGTCGTACACGGTAACAGGAAACTCAAAAGAGCGAAACGAAATAAAGAAATCTTGACTCTCGGGTTATACATCACGGACGGACAAATTCTGGGTATCTGCAAAGCTCAAACTCATCAGATTCCGCCGTTGGCCCAAGGAAAGCAGGAAGTAGATGGACGGTCCTCTCGAAGAGTTCTCTTGACTGCAGCGGTACCTGTAGGCGTTAGTTTCCTTCTTAAAGCAATTCAATGGCTGCTGTTTTAAGACAGGACATACCATCAACTCCTGGAGAAACCCGGTCCGACAGTTCAACATCATTGCTACTTTCTCCGAAAGTAGCAGCTGCCAAGGGAGGACCAAAAACGGCCCACTTTAGAGGTGCGAGAGCAGGAAGTCGTCCGTGGAATTTGGCTCTCTCCTATCTCTACCTGAGCCGAGTATGCTAGGACACCATATGAGATTATCCCAGGTTGATACGGTGTAGAATACTAAAATGTATTTTTTTCATGCCACTAATGTGATACTCAAGTGTGGTAGGTAAGTAGCTCTACAATACAAAATAGAAAATGCCACCGGAAGCTCACAGAAAACCTCTTGAATTTCATGCCTCAACCATTTACCAAAGAGGGGTCTCTAGATCCTTGAATCCGAACATAAGCTCAAACATATTAATGGCCTTATATCCAGTTTCAGGGTATGTTTTCATCCATAGGTCCCATTTTCGCTGTACACAGACAGTGCAGAATCGGCTCCTGCAGTTATCTGGATGATTGTAGAGGGGCCCGTGGCGGAGCCCAGGGCGATGAACCACATGGCCACAGGACTCGCATAACACTCTGTGTCTTTCAACCGGAATTCTCATAAAAGTCAACTTCAGTGGACCCCCAAAGTCCCGAATTACTCTTTGCCGAAAACTTTCCCGAATCGTGTTCATAGAAGCCGTCTGTGTTTGTTGCACATCATCCTTGATAGTTTTTTCTTCAATATCTTTGTTATCTACCACGACCAGCTCCTCGAGCATGTTGTCACGCTCCAAGTTTGGATAAAGAATTACAACAAGTTCTTCAAGTTCAGGGAATACCGCCTTGAGCAATCTCCATATATGTGGGGCTCGAAACGGCAGCGCGCTTTGAGGCCGCATTTGAGAACCAGTGAGAGCTTGGTCCAAATTGATGGCAAGTCGTTTGATGTGCTTGGACCACTCTGGGCCAATGATGGTTCGAGGTCCAGCTGCAGGACGTGGCAACTGGGGTCCACAGGCAAGGTTTTGTTTTCTGTACACAACGTCCAAATCGTAGTTGATGAATATGCTGTATGTCTTGCACCTTAGGTAAGGAAATTCGACTCGCTCATAAGCCTGTAGAGAACAAGAAGTTAGTCCAATCCTGGGCCAAGTTTTGGGGGATGAATAGCAATGTTTAGAGAGCTGCGAGAACTTTTCTGGGGGGGCGGGGGAGGGGAACTTCTAGAGATAGGTTGCAGGTGACTCCTAAACTTGCTAGGAAAAGACACAAGTAGCATCTGGAATATCTTACCTTGAGTGTTGTTGCCCTTGATTCTGAACAAGTATGGACAACTCCTGGAAGTTTACCACCTCCCGGTCGCCAATGAACAAGTCGTGGAACAATAGCCGACTTCCAGATCTGCTCACGTAGCTGTTCAAGATCTCAGAGTCAGCTAAGGCTTTCTTATTGTTTCAGGAGTCAAAAGGTATGTCTCTAGAGTGCATTGCTTCGGTGTACTGTACTCTAAATACACTCCAGAGACTGTATGAAAGAGGATTAAGTTCTCCGAGGAACTTTACACATACCTCGAATGGAAGTTTAGGAAAACAAGTAAACATCCCAAACATCTCCAACACAACATCCGCATTCACTGCCGTTTCGTCAAGCTGAACGTCATTGAAATCCCAATCACTGGTAGGTGCGGTCTCGTCTTTCAGCGTGATGTTATTTCTGAACAGTGAATGCAGAGCAGCAAATAGCTCGCCATCAGAGGGTGTACCTTCAGTCGCCTCGGAAGCAGGAGTAGTAGTAGGCGTAGGTGTAGTGGCATTGACAGCGCTGGTAGACATATGAAGAGGAAGAGAGTGAGGGTGAGACGTCGAAGTGCTGGGACCTCCCATGGGAGAGGTGAGCTCTTGCTCTTGCTTTTGCTCTGCGGTCGTAGCCACGGTCGAGTTAGACATCTTGGCTACGATGGCTCTTCTAAATCAAAGTCAGTAAGATCTGCACTATTAATTGCTAGATACCTATACAAGAGCATACACGTACCTAGAAGAAAGAAAGTGCAATGCCTCGCAGGACTCGAGATATCACTGTGTGGTATCGGCGTCGTGTCGAAAGGGGGAAAGGTAAGGTAGGTGCCAAGTAAACAAACGTGGTTGAACTTCTCCCTTCTCTGGATCGCGGCAAAGAAAAATATCGCTATGCAGTATCGGCGTTGTGTTTGAAAAGGAGAAGCTGTCAAGCGCAGTAAACTCCTCCCCCCTCTAAATCACAGCAAACAATTTATCAAGACTCCCAAAGCGCAAATTTCAGAGTCAGATCGTGGTGATGTACCTCATGAACAAAAAATCCAAATTCAAATCCAGATCGAGAGCTCGACATAATCTGCCAAGACACAAGACAAGTTACAAAATACAGAATACACAATACCTAATCCGTGAGTCGGTGAAGCGTGGCGGAAAAATACAGAGCGAGTGATATGCGAGGGGGGCAGAGCAGACCAGATGGCAGAACACTACTGTACACCGATGTGGTTCTCGTGAGGAAGGCTCGAGCGGTCTGGATGGCTCGGGACGTTGAAGACGTTGCACCTTATGTATTTACCAAATACAGTAAATATTATCATAGTAGGAGCTGCTCTCGCATAGACGTTGTGAGGGGGTGTTGTTTGCCCTTCGCCCTTTGCCCGCTTTCTCAAGAATCTGTCTGAGCTGAGCCAGGGTTAAAAGCGAAAGCGAAAGCAAAATTAAACATGTTAAATCAAAGGTCACTTGAGTTGCGCAAAGGCTTTCTGTAATTAATGTTTATTGACTTGGATCATTCCAATAATTGCTACTTAAGTTAAGTTAAGTTAGTTGCTACATAGGGTATTTATAACACAGTAGCCATACCATTACGCCGTGATGAAGAGGAGAGAAGCGCATTGCTTTCACTGCTTTCATTCCCAATTGCGCCATAAAATTGCATCGTCTGATTGATACAATCAGGGGTATATCCACCATTGTTCCGTTTTCCTTAAAAAAAGTCATACCCCAGCCCGTCTTTCCACTTCCAAGAAGAAAGCAAAGAAGAAAAGGAAAGACAAGTGTCTTCGCTCATGCGCCATAAAATCAAATATAGTTCATACTGAGCCTCAGAAGCGCCAGACGCTCTAGGTTCTCCAGCCTCCATTGGATGCGGATGCATCGTCGACAGGATCATCCAATGGAGGCAAACCCTCGTAATCGGGAAGGGGTGGACCAGTGTAATCACTGAGATCCGCGTTACGATATCCAGGGGGACTTGTTGGAACGTCCTGGTAAAGGGGTGGCTGTTCCAAATCCCAGGAGAGACCCATGCCACTTCTCTCGCTGAGGATGACATTGAAGTGCATCCTAAGCACTCTTGCGGCGCCTGAAGGAGTGACCTTGCTCGGGTTTTTAATTAATGCCATCTCATCGGAAATGATCATCTCTATGATCAAGACGTGGGTGATCTCTGTTCCATCCTCAGATGTCACATCGCACGTTGGGTGTGACTCTGGTCGGACATTGATGGGGAATTCGACCTCAATTCTTCCATCAGGGCTGCTGTAGTCTCCCTTCCAACCATTCTTGAGCTCGCTGTTTCCGATTATTTTGTTTTCCTTGTGAAGTTCTCCCTTCTTGGCATCATCCACATTGCCCAACTTTGCAGAATGCTTTGGGCATGCAGGAGATATAGATTTTTCGTTCTCCTCCAAACGCCATAGTAGTCGTTTTAACTTCCACTGATTCTGTGTTTTCTCGTCGACATTCCTCTTAACAACGCCATCTACGCGCAAAGAGATGTTATGCTGTCCGATTGGGTGTATGACTGCTGGGAATTCACAGTTCACCGTAATGTTGGTGGGAGGGAAAATTCGGATGGACTTTTTCGGGATTTCGGGGGTAAGGATTGCACGCTTGAGGTCGATCACTTTTGATGATTTGATAGGTTCACCGGTCTTAGTGGTGGTAACGGCTGCTCTCAGGATGTATTCGATCTTGGTAGTGGTGCCTTGAATACTCGCAGGTAGGTGGCCTGGCAGAAGAAAGCTGAATGGGAAATTATGAATACCTGGCCTCAGTCATTAGTATATGGCCAAACAAGCTCTTGCTGTAACTCACCTCTTGGCAAAATGGATGGAGCAGTAAGGATGTTCCACTCGTCCAATTGCTCCGTCTGTTTGGTACAGTCTGGGCAGTGAGTGTGATTGCGGAAAGGCTTCTTTCTCGTGACTTCCACGTTGAATCTCAACCTAAGCGTTTCAATGCTCATTTGATCTTCTTGGATGTTTAGCTGGAGCTGTCCCGAGATCAATGCGCCCGAGCTATTCGCTGGTGGGCCATAACAGACGGCCGGTGGCGATTCAATTTTGATGTCGAGAGTGACAGGATGATGTTGTGGGATTGATTTTGTAGAACTCTTTGGGGTGATCAGGTTTGTCAAAGACAGCCTCTTGTTGTGCAAGTCGGGCATCTTGACGCTCAGGTCCTGTGAGAGCAAGGATGAGCCAGACGAAGACGGCGACCGATCTGGAGACGCAGGCCTCCTAATGGTGTTCAAAGGGCGTCTTTTGAATTCCGCTGGAGCTTTGTGAGAGTTGTTGAAGGGGGGTGAGGAATGCGAGCGGAAGAAGGTAGATATCGAGTGGGTCATGGTGGAAAAGGGAAGGCGTTACTGGTGGCGTTTGCTGGGGAAGGACGGAGGCGTGACACATCTGCTGTAGGTACTGTAGAAGTTTTCAAGGCCAGTCGTAGTTGAAGGCGAATGGCAACTAGAAAGGCAGGTAGGTAGGTACTCGAAGATGGAATGGAATGGGAAGGAATAGTCAGATTGTATTTTCCCTTGGTTCCTTTATTCATTCGATTGACGTTCAAGGATGCGGGGCAAAGACATTATATGTTTTTGGCAGCGAAGGTCAATCTCATGCGACTTTTAATACATAAGGGGACGCGCGCATGCATGAACCCCAGCTGGCATTAGGCCGATGCCATACCGATAATCGTGTCATTCTTACCTACTACTGCGTATTATTTGGGCCCGCACACCAGGCTGGACTTGGGGCGTGTGAGATGTTGAAAATTGCTGTAAATTTATGACCCCTGTTCCTTCTGCGAACGCTCGTGCCAAGTGTGTCATTGGTGCATGGATGATGAGGCACACGGAGAATAGGTACGCATGGCATGGTTGGTAGCATAGTTGGTAGCATGGTTCCTTGTTGATCATCTTCAATGCCCCCTCGCCGGCATGCGGCGGTAGGCAAATTCAACCACCAGTGAGTGAGTGCACCACAGTACTGCACATGCCTACCTTGACTTAAGCTGTATCTTTGCGAGAGAATAACTTGTCAGGCTAGAGCAGCTGAAGAAATAGAGACCTACCTACGCATATATAAACTGGCAGCTCGCATTATTGATTATCTCCAAGACCTGACCTTTACCCAAAATTGTTACCATCCAAAAACACTACAGGCTCGGTAACAGCTTCCAAATCAAGCCTTCAAGCTGTATTGCGGAATCCCCACTAAACTGATGTACTCTTCAAAGTAAATTACCGCTCGATACTCTATACATCTCCATAAGCCTTGTAATGAGTCACTTCGTACTTTGTACTTGACCGCGAATCTGCGGAGACAATGCTCCTCTTCTCAGCTCATGGTAGGTAACGTGGAATACATCAGACAAGCATGATCTGACTCTGAAGGAAACCATGAAGTATATGGAAGAGGGACCTACAGTACTAGGACCAATGTAAATTTACATGTCACATGTCTGTCACATGCCTCGCTGACCTGATATTAAAGTTAGTACGAGAGGGTATTTAAAATCAAGCTTCGAAATTCTAGATGTGTGTTTCGAAGTTGGTAGTAATTCATCAGACTTTTCATCAGCACGCCATCAATAAGTTTTCATCACATATACCAAACGAAACAGTCACAACTGTGCGGGGAAGCAGCCACTAGGACAAAGTTATTAGAACAGAACCCCGCAAAATGGCGTTTGAAGACTTTTCGATATCTCCTCGGACGGTCATATGTCCACGCCCAGCGGCTGCCAGTTTCATCCTACAAACATGTGCGAAGTATGCACCAAGTACTCCCTCCATACCCCCCATACCCCCCATACGGAGTAAAAGGACGTCGATCCAAAGGCAAGGCACTGGTAGAGACACGTGGTGTGCAACGTGGATAGTAACGCATTACTATTACGATATTTGCGTGCTTTGTTACGTTTCTCACAACATGACAAAGGAACGACGCCCTGCCCATATTACCTAATGGACAAAAGCTCTTCCACTTGTGTGAAACAGCCCTTATTTTCATGAGGGTATTGAAAAAAAGGCAAATAAAAGTTCTCTTGGACTCCTCTCATTTCTTTCCACTCGTCACGCTCTTCTCCCACTCCTCGCACTTAGTACTTGGTAGTAGGAGGATTCACGTAGTCGATGATTAATGAGTTTTAAGCCTGCAGAAGCTTTCTAGCCGGAAAACTTTAAATGGAAAATCATTCTAGTGCGCAACTAATCCCTGTCGCAATCCCAGTCAACGTGACCTCGTCATAGGGGCGCCAAGCAGAGAATTCTCCGATTGGCTCAAAGTCGGTGTCTATTACTTGATTACTTCGTACTTAACTTCTGAAAATTTTCAATGCTCGCAAAATGGGGGGCTAATAAGGCGTCTCGACTTTCTCTATTTCTATGAATAGCGCAACTCATGTTTCTAGCCTGTTTCTACCTACTGTATGGACTTCTCACCGTCGGCTTCTCGTCCGATGCCAACCGCGGACACTTGCTTTTCCAGGAACCAATGCCCTCTTTTGGGCAAGGGGTGCGGACAACGCCGATGGTCGTGTCGTGCTCCTTTCTCTACCACGACTCCTTCTTGCTACCGTCTTTCTTTTATTAGTCCTTACCGACATTCTTCATCCTGCCATCGTTTCAACTTTCTCGTCACATCGCGCCTTCGTGCTTCTACTTCTATTTCTGTCTCGCAAGTTTGGTTCCATGCTGTAAGGAATTGGACATCTGTGGAGCATGCCGAGTGAGTAGTGGGATGCATTTAGTTCGATATTGTGACATTTCTTTATTTATGTTGGGATCGCAGGCCATGAGACAGACTCCTTGCAAGGAGCTGTTAATAACAGTGCGAGCTAGGACGAGCGAGATTCGAAGGAAGGGACCTGTTGAAAACATCAGGTTTGGACACGGAGGAAAGTATAGACAAACGAGCGAAGTATAAGTTGCAAGCCTATTATCGTTATTTCATATTCTCTGTCGATGCAGTTTCTTACCAGTTGTATATCCTGGAGGTCTCCTTACCCCAACGCCTCACTTCCATCCCGCACATGGTCTCATACAGCTTGTATTTCTGGGATTTTTCCTCTTCATTCATCGAGAAATTCCCAAGCCACTTTCATTCCCTCTCACTTCTTCAAAAAATGTTATTATTTCTATATTGCAGCTAAGTCAAATTCACGAACTACTATAGTTGCAAGTTGACTATCTAAGGCTTCTCGACGCAAGTATAAGGAGAGGACATTATCATCGTGCAGACGAGGGCGATCAACACGTGGTTCAGATGAATAACGTCCGCCCGTCCACACCAATTCATAGTCCAAAAAGTTTCCTCCTTTGGTCGCTTTAAGAATTGTCAGAGCACCCGCGCTTTTATCCCCGGAGTTAGTACCGCGGTTCTCGGGAAGGATAAAATAGATATCGTTCTGTTTTGTTACCGCCATGACTCCGCGCTTCCCGCCAAGAAGCGCAGTAACATTCGGCAGAGAACTTTGAGTCCAGACCCCTAGATGAAGTACGTCGTCAGACAGCAGAACGGCAGTAAGGGGTAGAGACATACCCTGAGGTGAGCGGTAGTAATGCTTCCACTGCATATGCCCCTCCATGGTATCGCGATTCAAGACGTGAACACCACCCTCATAGTCTACGACCTGATCTTCTTGGTTATGCGCACCGCTACCCTTGGGGATACTAAAGACCTTGATACCCTCCTTATCACAACGAACGGTTTCCCCCTTTTCTAATTCCGCAATTGTAATGCCAGCATCATTCTTCCAGCTACGCCCAAGGTCATCGCTGTAGCTGTACCAGAGATCATGGTTATTCTCAATACCATTCGGGCCTGCTTGTTGTTTGTGTTGCACGCCCGTGGATTTATCCCAGCCCTCAAAGGGGACAAAGTCACGATATGTCCACGTCACGTGAAGTCGTGAGTTAAAGTAATCAAGACCATTGATATACGGGTTGTTGTCGCTTCCTTCAAGGTAAATACCCATCGAAACGTACTTTCCAGTCTTACTGCTGTAAGTATACAACTCTTCGGAACCAAGTCCAGCCCTTGAAATGATCAGCCAGTTGCTACTCAAAATGCTGTCGGGTTTGACTTACATGCCTGTTCGGTATGAAAATATCATATCCTGATCAACAGCGAGGAAGCGAGGATAGGTGATATTAGTAATCGGGGCAACTGTTCCAGGAAGGGTGTCCAAAGTAGTCGTGAAGATGGAAGGGTCCCAAACAACATGCTCGGGATCCGTCGCAGCGTCAGCCTTGGAGAATCGATAATGTAAACTGAATCACCGGGTTTAAGTATTTCTGATTCCAAAAATCTCCTTCAGAACAAACACTTACTGGCTACTGTGATGGTCATACGCAAGATGAATGGTCCCATCACCATGACAGATACCGATCTGAATCGTGTTATGGCCATCATCCGTCACCTGAGCATAATCCTTAAACACGATAACTTCCCACGCCTCCTGCGTCAAGAGTCTCCGTGCGAGATGAACATAAGTTTGCTCGCTCCCGCTCCCTTCACCGGACACTGAGGCATAGAATGCAGTATATTGCCATCCACGGAACGACAGCAGGATATCCTGTTGCGCCGACGTCCCATTGAGCAGCCACTGGCGGTTCGGTGGATCAGAGCCCAGTACAAGCTCTGTTGACTCTTTGAGCATCGTGGCGTTGCGTTGCGTTGCGTTGTCGCTTGTAACTAAATTGAGGGTGTTGGGAATTACGAGCACGGAAGATATGGTTGGTACGTGACTGGGTATTATCAAGTAAAGTAATTCCTTCTAACTAGCAACTCCACCAGAAACTATCTTCCCCAAAGTACACTCCCATACCCAACACGCAGTAAAATACCTTCGCCTCGAGACGCTCTCACACTCACTGATTGGTGGAACCTCACTCGGCAAGCGATAGCCCGGAGCCTGTCCTCGGGCTATCTACCCCTTACCCCTATGCAGCGGACCATCTATCGGGACTCGCGGGGGTGCACAATTTCAATCCTCTAACTCTATTCTGTAAATGTTATTTTTGGCAAATTCGCGCGGCTCGTGATAAAAACCTTGGACTTTACTATATTACAAGAATGGCACACATTCGATACCTGTCTGGGTTAGCTACGGAGTATAGTTACGTACCCCTTGCCTATATAACTGGCTCTACTTAGCTCTGGGCGGGGACGCGGGGGGGGACGGGGGAGTGCGGAGTGGAGTGGAGTTGGCTGGGCAAGCGAATCTACGAGAAAGCTAATCTCACCACCACGGTGCACAGACACACACACACACCTCTACGCCTTCAATCATCTTCATTAGAACTTCTACATCCGTATGGCCTACGAAGCCACAAAGATCATTCGCAGTTCCACTTTCTCGGTCATCCTGTTCAGCCATGATATCCAGCTCGGACAGCATAGCCTGGCTGGCTCAATTCCTGCTAATAGGTTCTTATTGGTGGATTGATCGATCTTGGATCTTGAATCGTGCTGTGGATTTCCCCTTGGCGTGGATGTGGATGTGGAGTGCATTTCCTGGTAATTTCACCGCAAGCGTTCAAATCCGGGGATCCCGCAAAAAAGATGGGTGTCTGTGTTGCGGGACACATGGTTCTCCGCTTCAACGCGAGCAAGGTGCCAAGGTCGATACAATGAGAGTGTGTAGAGGATGGAGCCTTCAGATCTTCTAACCTTGGTTGCGCCGTCTTCCCGACCAAGCTGGAGGAGAGACGGGTTAATGATATTCTTAGTGTTGATTCTTCAATATGATGATCATTCTTTCAAGTATATATATGAAGCTTAAGCTCGCCATGATGATCCTTCCTTTTTATTTTATTTCGTACCAGTCACTATCTCATGATCACTGGATCTTATTCATATAATCGATATTCACGATGCTTTCCCATCTTGTCTCAGCCCTAGCCATACCGGCTCTTGTTAGCGCGGCTACTGTCACGTATTCTGTCCCAGCAGCTGCTCCTACTACAGCTGCTACTCTGGATGTTGCGCCTGTAGCAATCTCGTACGTACTATTCTACGTCTAACCAAGACCAAGTTATGGCCAGCTTTATTGACATGATGGATACAGCATCGAGTTCTTCACCTGGCCATCATACATGACAAATGTCACGGCAACCACCCAATGCCTTTCAAACTTCGAAGCTTTGACCGGTGAATGGCCAGCTATTCGAATTGGTGGTACAACACAGTAAGTTCATGATCCATCTTACCCACCTGATGAGAATTCAAAACTGACTCGAGTTAGGGATCGTGCAGACTACAACCCATCCACGTCAGCATATGTTGTATACTCGACCAGTAGCGCGACAGGTGTCCCGACTATTCTTACTTATGGACCTAGTTTCATAGACCTTGCTGCGGCATATAAAGGAAGGGTCACCATGGGTAATTGCCCAGCTACAAACTATTTTCCGGATTCTGCTAATAAAATTATAGGTCTCAACCGTGGTCATAACAATATCACAAACACCATTCTTGCTGCAAAATACAGCAAGTCTAAAATGACCAACCTGTATGCGATAGAAGCTGGAAACGAACCAGAATGTAAGTTTATATTGCTTCTTTCTTCAAGATCCCGCTTCCTCTTTCCCGTGCATTAGTCTGATGTGGGTGTAGATTGGTCTGGTGCCACTGCAGCTGCAGATGCGCAAGCTCAAGACGACTGGGCCATCCGCATTGGTCAGGCGATTTCCACAACCGACATCATGGAAGAGGGTAACTCGTTATCTCCACCTCCAACCTGGGGCGCGGCCGAGTTGATAGCTACCGAGAACTCAACTGTCACGCCGTATGTGAAGACCTTCTCTCACCATGCCTATCCTGGAGGAGATACAACGACTTTAATGGAACATTCATTAACTGTGAGCAAAATGGCTGTGTTCAAGGCGGATATTGCAGCCGCGACGACTGCTGGGAAACAGTATGTCTTTGGCGAAACAAACTCGGGTAAGTCCTTCTTTTTCTCTCCTCTTTTACTAGACTCTCTGGCCAGCGTTCTCATACTTCACTTTGCTAATACAATCTCCAGTCTCCGGTGGTGGCGCAGCATCAGTAAGTCCAACATATAGCTCAGCGATCTGGACTCTAGACTACGCTCTCTACGCCACGACCCTCAACGCCAAACGCTTGTATTTCCACCACGGCACGCTCGGCGCCTGCGAGTATTGCTGGTTCGGACGCTACACCATGGGAGCCTCGTACTACGGCGCCTATGCAGCCAGCGCCGCCATGGCCAGCGGCTCCAAGATCGTCATGCTCGATGCGGGGACTACCAACTACGCCACATACATTGTGTACGGGAGCACCGGGGCGCCGTTGCGCGCCGTGCTTATCAATACGGATTTCTACTCTGGGTCTGGGACGCGCGGCAGCGAGGTGTTTAAGCTGACGGGCTTCTCGACGACGAGCGTGAAGGCGAAGCGCCTTACGGCTGCTGCATCGACTAGTAGGGTGGATGAGGGGGCGTCGCCGACGTTTGGCGGGCAGGAGTTTGAGAATGGGAGTTGTGTTAAGACGGGGACGGAGGCGTACGAGACGACTACTGTTTCTAGCGGCGCGGCTAACTTCACTGTTAACGCGTCCGAGGCGCTTATCGTCTACTTTTAGGTGCAGATGATCATGAGGTGGTATAGCCAAGTACGTACCGGGTATATATTACGCTTGAGGAATTTGTGGGGGAGTGGTAGGGGGCTTGGAAGTTGGAGCACATAACGTACCATATTCTGTACATACTTTACTTTCTAAATTATGCTCTACTTTTATATAAATACAACTTAGTTACTTATACATAAATCCAAGATATACGCTTTCAAACAACTGTTTCAAATTACGAGCTGGTACCTTACCTTAGCGTGCTGCTCCGCTCAACCAAATACGCAAGCTAATCGCTTTCATAAACGAAAAACAATCTTGACTTTTCGCAATCAATAGCTATAGGAAGGAGTATATCAAAAGAGCGGACGAGTGCAGGAATGCCGCATGCAGCTTCTTTATTGCCAACGGCCCAACGGGCATAAAAGAAGCTTCCTCTCTGTATATAATTTTAGGGCATCTATTCCGAGGATGGATTGATTTACTCGCCCTCTATCTGATCTCTTTGCGAGTAGTATTAGATAAAGCCTCTTAGATGTGTTCCGGTTCATACATATGAATGAACCGTTCATTCGTGGATTTAGAGATACTCGGGAGTAAAGCATCACGGTTCATTGATAAACGAGCTTACAGTTGAACCAGTATGGCTAACCCTTTCACTAAAGTTGAACTAGTGTGGGAAAGCATAGACATTTATTTAAAGTGGAATTCCCACACTGGTTCAACTTTTAGCCACACTGGTTGAACTGTAACCGCTTAATGAGCTGAACGAAGTTGATAAGCTTAGAATCACCAGCGAACTAGTTGGATTCATGAATGAACCGGAACAGATGCGAGCGAGTTGGCTTGGTTTAAGTAAGAGATACACCCCACTATATATATCTACATCAAAACTATACTACGTATAAGGAGCGCTTGTAATAGTCAAACTTGAAAACAATATAAAACTCTCAACACAAAATCGAAGAAAAGGGGGATGTGCGTTAAAGCGAACAGATGCTGACTGGGCAGTTAAATTCTAATTCGCGCGCAAAGTTCCCAGTAATAATCGAGGTACTATACAGTAGCTAGCTGTAGATCTCTGCCAGATTTCTCATTGATCAACACCAACGTTACGAATGCCCTTGCTACTGCGGACATTATCAAGGAACCGCACCACACACCTCTACATATGTATCTTGCTTACGAAGTATAACAAACAAACTGAATTTCAATTTAATCTCATTATGGCCTCGATCCCCGACCGCTATTACCCCCAAACTAGCGTATTCGGATACACCCCCGACCAGGCGCAAAGCAGTAAGCTCAAGGTTCCCCAAATAGGCTCGACCCGCGTACATTGATAGCCCGAGCGGCACCGAATGGGGAACGGGGGAAGTGGCGAAGCGGCAGAAAGTAACGTTGTCCGGGGTAGCCTTTCGCGTCCCCGGACCATGTGCTGGTGCTGAAATTAGGGTCGTGTGGGGAAGAGGGGAAAACATTTCTCCACCTCTCCCCAAGCCGCCGGGAATTTACTGGGCTTGTTTTAAGAGGATCAGCGCATCTTCTCGCTTTGCCGCGCTACGTACAATTATATACATATATACAAGCAAGCAAGCAAGCACGAATGTAGTTTGCGAGTGTCCTTCTCTTCTCTTCCTATTCGGAATAAGTCAGATAACTTCTTCTTTCTCATGGATATATGAACCAGCGCAATCTATATATCAACTGCAGCACATACCTCAGATCATCTGGTGGTCTGATTTACCAACCATAATAAACAAAGTAACGAAACTACCGCACGGGTTGCAAGACTGAATAATATCGACGTTACAATGTCACAACGAACAGGCAAAGCAGATGCCGAAATGATCGAACACACCGCCGTCGAGCAAGAACTCGAGATGCATATACCCAATCCCAAAGGCGGCGCGCCTTTGATGCGTTCCAAGGCAGACGAGCTCAGCGTCTGGCAGAGTGTACGGGTATACAAGCGGGTTGGGGTTATAGCTATGCTTGCTGCATTTTCCGCATCGCTGGATGGTTACCGTAAGTAATTTCACGATTAATATATGTGATCTATTTACGCTTTGATTTACATAATATGCCCGTGCTACGGTATATGGTTATATTGTATTTATTTTCCCTTCGCGGCACAAACGCAGACGCACAAGTTAACAGCTAGGTGTGTTGATAGAGATAAACCTCAATGGCGGCATCGTTTCGAACAAGGGGTTTATCAAGCAAATGGCCAGCCCAGGGACAGTCATCATTGCAGGCAAATATGTATCGGCATGGGGTGGGATTCAATCTGCTGGCCAGTTCGTCGGTCAAGTTGTACGTGCACCCTCTGAAATGGGATCATGATATCCATCCCTATCTTTTGGTATCTACTGACAAGTTCTCCACTAATAGCTTCTCCAATATGTTACTGAGGGGTTTGGACGTAAACCTGCCCTTTTGATCATCTGGGCTGTCCTTGTACTGGTTAGTCAATGTCCCCCTTCTCTTCTTTCCAATATGAATTTATTTTTCATTGTCTTTATATGTAAAAGTGTCGCCTACTAATGTCTGCTTTTGGGACTAGAGTATCTTCACCGAAACATTCTCCAGCCGTTGGGATCACTGGCTCGTGGCAAAACTACTCTCCGGCATGGGTGTAGGCATGTTGCAATCCACTATGCCTCTCTACCTATCTGAGATTGCTCCAACTCAATTGAAAGGATTCTTTATCAACGCATACAGTCTGTGAGTCTCAGACGCCCAGCCCTATTTCGCTATATACTGCTATGCATTGCTATGTTTATCTTATCCTACATCGAAAAGAATGATAGTCACTGACTGTATTGCCTTTTTCTAGTTGGTTTATCCTGGGTCAATTATTTGCTTCTGTAGCCCTATATGAGCTTAAACTTTCAGACCCTTACAACTACAAGGTTCCTATTTATACCCAGGTAAGTTAACAACTTTCAAGCTTGAGCCACTGAACAAAACTAACCGTAATTTCAGTGGCCAATGGTTGGTGTTATTGGAATTATCTTCGCCTTTCTCCCCGAATCACCTTGGTGGCTCGCAAGCAAAGGAAGACTTCGTGACGCAGAAAAAGCCCTTCGATTTTGTAACGGTGGTGTTGAGGGTTACGATTTCCAGGAACAGATTGTTCGTGATCCTCCAAAGTGTTTGTCCAAGAAGAAAGCTTGCGCTAACTAAATCCGTTCATAGGACGTTATGACAGCTACCGTCATGATAGAGGAACAAACCGCAGAACTTAACAAAGAGGTTGGGCCATTGGCGGTTTTTCAAGGCCGGAATCTTATCCGATTCGTCATCTCTGGATGGCCAAAGATCACCCAGCAATTTGTTGGTTTGACTGTATTCAACACCTTTGCCGTCTACTTTTGTAAGTGACTTTTATACTGTATATCTTGCAAGGGTTGTGCTGACTTGACTTTCATAGTCCAATATGCGGGCAACAAGAATCCTTTCCTCGTCACCGTCATTCTCTCAAGTGTGCAACTTTTGTCAATGATCCTAACAGCCACACTCACCGATCAATTTGGTCGTCGTCCCCTCACCGTCTATCCCTATGGAGTAACGACCTTGTCTGTCCTATGTCTGGGAATCATCGGCTGCTTTGACTATAAAAAGAAAGCAACAGGCTCACTCCTAGTAAGCCCAGCTTAGCCTCCGCATACAAATTTACCCCCCCTTCGAAAGCTACGTTGCTGACTCTTTCGTCCCTAGATTTTCTTTGCCTGTTTAGCCACCTTTTCAACCACTGGCGCTTCGGCCATCGGCTATGCCTATGCAGCTGAGATTCCCACGCAACGCCTACGCGCGAAGACTGCAGCTTGGTCTCTCGCCATGTCGAATCTCGTAGGAATTATGTTCAGCTTCTGCACCCCGCTTATGATAAATGGAACTAGCAAATGGGGGGTCAAGACGGGTTTCTTGTAAGTCTGGTTTCTCTTCCACTCTCAAGGATATCAATATAGTGGAGAGAGAGAGAGAGAGAGATAGAATGCTGACGCTAGTCCTGTAATACAGCTTCGCGGGTACGGGCTTGGTTACTACAGTTATTGCCTGGTTCATCCTCCCAGAAGTAGCACGTCGGACACCGGCTGAAATCGACGAAATGTAAGTTATACCCTATGCCATCGCTTACACATTGCTGGCGAGAAGCATCTTGCACACTTCAGGGCTGACCATGGCGGACGTGACAGGTTTGAGAAGAAGGTCAATCTCCGCCAGTTTGACAAGTACGTCACGGATGTTCAGGTGCACGCAGATGAGCTGCACGGGCATGCAGGAATTGCTTGAGTGGTAGAAATTATTTTATGTTATGAGAGTAGTAAGAGAGTCGGACGGAAGGATGAGGCTATGTCGGTCACTGATATTTGAGCTGGATTGAGTAAGGCTTGTCATTGGATATATAATGTTTCCGAACTCTATACGTATATACGCTCTCTTGTATAATTCGAGATTCTTTGATAGCAGCATTAAACTTTCCCGCGACCATAGAAGCTATCAATTCTGATATTCAATTCTTCCTAGTCCACAAGTACGACGACAAACCGGGAAGACCTTAAAATGTGATTTAAAAGTCGGTGGAAAACCCCCCTTTTCTAGTGGGGTTTATGGCCAGTACTATGTCAGGCCCCTATTTCTTTAAAAGTATAAGCTGCTTTATAAGTATAGATTATACTATAGACATAGGTTATTATACAGTCCAGATTCGAGGTAGTCGATGTATTGTGAAGTTCCTAACAGTAATTGAAGCCAGATTATCACTGGCAGTCTTGTTAGTACATCGGTAGCAATGTAATAGAATAGCGAACTTTATGGTTCTAGGTGATATGATGATTATGTGGCATTTTAATAGCTTGAGCCTATACATAAATTACCTGGCTACTTGGAAAAGAGACACAAAGATCGCCTTTCCTCTTCTCCCAAGTTCCAAATTCTTGTAAATCTCGCCAGGTACACAAATCGATCACTTGATCACCTGCTGGCGACTACCAAACTCTTCCCGATATTGAATAGCAAAGGGCTTCAAAGTCACGCGCTTGCTTAAAAACCAAAAATTCCAATTCACCATTTGGAGGTTACCGAGACTTCTTAAAGACTTAAACCTCGCCTTGAGTCTGATCTTCTCCACATCAACATCGCCATCTACATCCGCAAACATGGGTTACCTGACACTCACCACCTTCAAGCCCTTCCCAAGACTCGTTCTTGAGCTCCGTCTACTGGTATGGAAGTTCGCCGCCACCAACATCCCTCCCCGAGTCGTCCAGACGAGCCCCAAGCGACCCAAACCTCCAGCAACAGCACACGCGTGCCACGAAAGCCGGCTCGAGACCCTGAAGAGCTACGCCCTCATTAAACTCCCACGGGGTATCATACTACTCAACCACGATAAAGACGCACTATATCTCAACGAGCGAGAACCCATGGCTCTTCTTCGACGCATGGCTGAGTGCAGCACAGGGTGCTTCAAATCGCTCCAATTGCAAACGATAGTCTTGGACCTGGAGGACGCAAGGGTAGTGAAAACGGTAGCAATAGGAGTAATCGATAGAAGCCCTACGAGTGATCAGATATGGAGCACGATCGCAGACGTTTCGCCGAATCTGAAGATGGTGTTCGTGGTGGGGGGAGCTCATGATTCACCTCGACACTCGGCAATGCGTTCACACGCCGTTCATCTCCGACGAAGAATGCAGACAAATGCCCCCCCAGGACGAATCATTACACCGATATCTATTGAGTCCTTGTTTCAACGGGTATCCGAAGCGTGGATGACGGACACGCGTGACATTAGTGCAGGTCTTCGAAAGGCGAAACGAGAAGGTTGTATTGGTGCAGACATGGCTGTGAGGACTTGCTGTATAGAGAAGGTAGCGAATTTCATTCCGGGATGGTTGTGAAGGGTATGGAAGGATAATTTGGAGAACTGGAGGTTTGGAGATTCTCCTCAACGTGCGATACTTTCAGGCTGCAGGAAGAAGGGGCGATTGACTGGGCCAAGCCACTAGCAACGCCAGTCTAGTTAATCAGCTTTATAGTAGATATACATTCCTCCCTCCACTTCTCAATTGTGCCCTACACTATCTCTGTGATCTTCTCTTCAAACCTCGTAGAGATCGAGCCAGAATCATTTGTGCTGCCAGTGCTTTAAAACCTCTGATATATCTTACTCTTTGTACTGTATCACAGACTCTTTTAAGCATGAAGGGAAACAACTTCTCGCTAATACCATTATTATGACTCCATCTATGATCTATATTGCAAAGTAAACAATCCAAATACAGACTGAAACCCCCCTGCCCACAACATCATATTCCAGAACTATTTTCTCCAACTATGCTTGCTTTCCAATAATCTCGAAATATAGATTGAGTTCAAGGTATTCGTCTCCTCCGAGCTCGAAGGAACCACCAACTCCTCAACAACTTCATAAAGCACCACGTTCACGCACAATCCCAATGCCTGCGCTTCCTTTAGACTACGAGCGACATCCCCGAAGATATCGAGCATTTTCCATGCCTTTATCAAGTTCGTGAAGAGGTCTTTGTTTCTATGTTCGGGCTTTAGTCTCTGGAGATGAGTTTCCAGGCCGTGGCTCGTGGGGCCGTTGAGTACCGCTAGGACGGTTTTGAGGCGCGCACTGCGTCACTGAGTTTGCGCCTGTAGATGGGGCAAACTCTTGAGGGTTTGGATAGCTCATTGTGTTGCAAGTTTGTGATGGTGTCTGGAATGCTTTTTTTTTTTATGGATAATTCAGTGTTGGTCGATCTGAGGTCGAGATTCTTTACGTCTTTCTGCCCCTTTCTCTAAGCGAGGACGACTGGGTGGAGCTAAGTCCAGTTCACTTATAGTCAAACGAATGAGACATTTCATACTCGACCCGCAAATTTCCATTAAATGCTGACACAAATTACCCACATTTAGCGCTAGCCAAGATATCCCTGAATTTAATATATGAAACTTTAGCCTTTGAGTCAATTAAACAAACATACTTTTTGGCCCCCACAACTAAGAACCTGGCAACATTTTCGAGCAACAACACCACAAGCAGAGCTTCAAACAATCGTTTAGGATTACCTATTTGCCAAACTTCCTCCTCGTATCATCTCCCTTTAGCCGGACAATTTCCATGACATGCTCCACGGTCCACGAGCACTCCGTTTCTCAAAAACAGTCCTCTCACTCTAAATGTTGCCATAATACTAAACTGCGAGGCGAGGTGAACTTTACCTTTGTAGAGCCTCGTAGAATGATCGCAATTTGGGATGGCATGTATAGATTGTCACTAGCGTTGGCTCAATTACTAGGCTTATATATTCTCATAAAAGAGCTGTTTATTTGTATATATATAGGAGCTGGTGAAGAGGGGGCTGTTTTAGTAATTAACCCATATGCAAAACAGCTTCCAAGTCTTTTGATTTGTTCCAAAATTCAATTCTTTTACTATGGTAATACGTCGATCATATCCAACTTTAGCATGTTCAATTAAGATACTTGTGATTGATGTCCATGTATTCAGTTACCGTTCATGGTTTCAGGAAGAGGAATATTACCCGGCCAGCTTGGTGCGATTGGACTATTCTTGAAATGTGGTGCTATGACCACCTTGATATTCGTGATCTTTGGGTGCAATAAGCGTGTGGGGAAGGGACTAGAAATCCATGATTTGAGGGAGGCGTGGTATATTGAATAGCTCAAAGCTATCTTTGACTATTGCCGTCACAAACTGGAGCGAGAACAAAAGTCGGGATGTTTGGCGGGGGTGGATATAAAGGTTATGCAACGGAAATGAAGATAGTCTCGAAATAGATGTGGTGGAATGCCGCACTGCGGCTTTCTATACTTACCATAATATGATAATTACATTCTTTCTATTTTGAATTGAGGTTTAAGACTCTCATAGCATTCCCCCCCAGCGCCGCTCTCTCCTTCTTGCTACCTCCACCAAGAGCGCCTTTGATCGCCTCATAATTCGTCTCCACACTCGCCCATTTCTCACCTTCCTCTTCCAGAGGGGGAAAGAACGGATGATCAGTGCCGAACATAACCCTGTCCTCTCCACTGGCTTGAATCGCAGCTTTCAATCCAACTTCACTGTACACCACTGCATCCAGATAGATGTTCTTCTTCAACACATCCCACACAGTCTTCCTTCCATTTCCTAGTTTCCCTGCAGCCTTGAGATGCGCATCATGCTCAATACAGCTTTCTATCCTCCCTGCCAAGAATGGAAGAGTGCCTCCCGAGTGTGCAAGAATCATCTGCAAATCCGGCACCGTCTCAAACACACCCGCCAAGATCATTCTCGTAACTGCAATGGTCGTCTCCAGCGGAAAGCCCAGGGCGAGCGGCAGAACATGACCATAATCGTTTGCTCGCTCCCCCCATACCGAGCTCGGCAGTCCATAATGTGGGTGCAAGAAAATCGGCAACTTCGCATTTTGCAATGCTTGGAAGATAGGCAGGAGCTCTGGGTCGTCTAGCCCCCTTCCTAGACCTGTTGTTCCTAGAATAATACCCCTCATGTACTTGAGTTCCTTTAACCTCGCGATCTCCTTCCCAATCACATCCTTTCCCCCACTTAACGGCAAAGTCGCAAACGCAAATAGCCTGCCTGGAAATTTCCCACACTCTTCATTTACTTCATCATTGATTCCTTCAGCGGCTTTTGCAGCTTCATCTGCAGGTACCCAGTCCAGCCATGGATTTGCGAGGGAGATGACTGAGATGTCGATGGAGTGTGTGTCCATGAACTCTATCTTCTTGTTGATGTCATAATATTCTGATCCGACTGGCCGGCCTCTGGAAGTGCTCTCTGTATCCTCGGCAGGAAGAATAACTAGACGGAGAGAGGAAGATGGGGGAAAAGAGCGGATGTAAGGAATGCTGGAGCGGGATTTGAGGAGGGCGATGTAGGAGGGTGGGTAGACATGGGTGTGGATGTCCACGATTGGAGACTTGGTCTCCGCCATATTGTTGACGAATCTCCCGGGATGAGATGAAGGGAACTGAAGGGAACTGAAGAGGAAGTTTGTTTATTTATTTATTTATTCGGAAAAGTCACCAGAGTGGTAAACGCGGAAAAGTCACGTTTCACTAGTATTTTTACCCCGCCCCTCCCCCGCCGCTACCCCTTTATCATGACCCCACTTTCGTTATCAGTTGGAGCCGAGACCCCTTGCCAAGACATATCTCACTCCGTACCTGCCCCTCTCGACATGAACTGATATATGTGATGGCGGAGGGCGGCTTCATCCGACAATTGGGAGTTTATGTACTCGCTGTCGCTCCTACAGAGATCCCCAGATTTCTCTCAAAATTTATCTGTACTGTGCTACCCAATTGACTAGACAAAATGGCACCCCAAACCAGCGCCGTCAACAGCGACAACCTCTTCATCCCAGTACGTCCATCCCCCTTCCATCCCCAGAACCTCTACCACCAACTAACCATCTCACCAGCTCGTAGACTTCTCCCTCTTCCTGAACGGCACGCCCTCCCAACGCCTCAGCACCGCGCAATCCATACTCCACGGTTTCCAAACAGCCGGCTTCGTCTACCTAACCTCCCACAGCATCCCTCTCCCGGCAATCAGTCGCACCTTCTCCACCTCCGCGACCTTCTTCTCGCGGCCGCAGTCCGAGAAAGATGCCCTGCGCTGGACCACCCCCCAGTCGAACCGCGGCTACGTTGCCCACGGCCGCGAAAAGGTCTCCACGCTCACCGACAAGGACGACGTAGCTGCGTCCCGCGCTCAGGCGCCCGATCTGAAGGAGAGCATTGAGATCGGGCGCGAAGGCGCGGATGGGACGCCGAACAATTGGCCCCCGTATGAGGGGGCTGGGAAGGAGTTTAAAGATGTGATGCTGGGGTTCCATGATCTGTGCAAGGAGTTACATATCGAAGTGATGCGTGCCATTGCTGTGGGTATGGGGCTCCCGGAAGCCTATTTCGATGGGTATACGGATGCGGGAGACAACACACTGCGGCTGCTGCATTATCCTGAGGTGAAGAAGGATGTGTTTACGAAGAATAAGCTGCAGGTGAGGGCCGGGGAGCATACGGATTATGGGAGTATTACGTTGTTGTTCCAGGATGATAGAGGCGGGTTGCAGGTCAAGAGCCCTAATGGAACGTTTGTGGACGCGACGCCGATTCCGGGGGCCGTGGTGGTTAACGCGGGGGATTTGTTGGCGAGGTGGAGTAATGACACTATTAAGAGTACGCTGCATAGGGTGGTTGAACCACCTGCGCCGGAGGAAGGAGATGTGCATCCAGCGAGGTATAGTTGTGCGTATTTTTGTAATCCAAATTTCGATAGGCACATTGAGGCGATCAAGGGAACATATGAAGGCGAAAAGGGGGGCAAGAAGTATGAGGGAATTAACTCGGGGGATTATTTGGTGCAGAGGCTGGCTGCTACTTACTGAGTCCTTCGATTAACTTGTGTTTTGTGGCTTATATTCCGTATTGCTATTTTGTAGTCCAGCGATGTACCTGCAATCTTCCAGCAAAATCCAGCAAATTGTTCTCCTAGATCCATGCCGTTGCCCCGGGCATGGGAAGGCGTCCAGCAAATATAATTGCAACAATAAATTCCATCAGTCTTCTCCTACAATCTTCTCCCATCCAATTAAAGCCCACACTTCTTCAATCAGCCACACAGAGCTATAAAGCTCCTCCTTGTTCACAATTTCAACAGAGAAATTGCTCTCTTCAACCGGAGGAATAGGCATCTCCAACGAAGCGAGATCATCTTGACCAACAGCGAACTTGGTCAGCGTGCTCTGAATAAGCTTCATCTTGTTAGACACAAGATCCCGCGTGAAAGACGACGAGGGAGCTAAGCTATTGATACGCTTTAGATGATCAAGGTGCTTCCTATCCGATGCTAGAACTTTGGCAACTAGCTCTTTTCTCTCGATGCTGCCTAGTGCTGCGCGCAGAATCTGTACAATATATCGGGATTCGGGTTTTGCTATTGTAGGTTTGAAAGGAGCTGTCTCTTGCGTGATATGGCCTGGATTTGTCGAGTTCGCTACATGTTCTGAGAATATAGCGTCGGATAGGAGACGCCCGGTATGTTTGAGTGTCGAAAACAGGATGCCTTCTAGAATCTCGCTGTGGTGAGGTTTTCCTACCTGCCATTCAAGGTGTGAGACGATGGCTGAAAGTGCTCTGCCTAGGTACTCATTCATGGCGTATTCTCCTTTCTCTATCTTGGCACATTTGTTGTGTAGTCTTCGGTGATCCTGAGCTTCTGTTATCTCGGCTTGGAGATTGCCAAATGTTTGTAGGTAATCCAATGCTTTGTTAAAGAACATGACCAATCTATTGACGAGGACGCTTTTCTTCGTACGTCCGGGGATGGTGGCACATATGTTGTCCAGTGCTGCGAAGCAGGATTGAAATCCGAGGAAGACTTGATGGTGCACGAGCTTCTGAAGAAATTCGCACGTCTGAGGATCCTGATTGCCCATCTTGAGAGACAGCAAGGGGAGGCAGTCGGTCAATGCGTTTTCGAGAAGCATGAGAATCTGTAGAGAACATTTGATAGCTTCGTCGAGATGCTCGAGATGCTCCAGATCTTTGAGACCTTCGATGAGCTTTTCAAGCTTGGATCGTTGTTGCAGAATACGAAACACTAGAACAGTCAATGAAATGTATGGTGACAGTAGAGACTGATTGCATACTATAGCTACTCAGCCCGAGAGTAATAGGGTCATCAGGTAAATGCAGGTCATCTGGATCTTCCATGATCTCCAAATCATCAAGCGCCTGTCGCCTTCTGAGATCCTCTTCGCTTACACCATGTCGTTGTGCTAAGGGTTCCTGCCCAGGAGAAGGTCCATCTTCCTGGCTGTCTTGGCCGGTATGTTCTCGAAATAGGCGGTGCTTTTCTTCCAGAATGTGGTATTTAGCCTCGAGCGCTCTTCTGTCTCGATCAATCGTCGAATACTGGTCTTTCCAGAATTCCACGCTGTCAACATATCGAGGGTTATCACCAGCAGCTCTTTTCCCAGTAGTGATGCACTTGGAGAGCAATTGACAATATTCTATGACATGTCAGGCGTGGTGAAGATATTTTGAATAGCGACATACCTGCTAAAGATGTTCTTTCTGGTTTCGATTTTGCAATCATCAGTGCGAGAGCCATTTGGCCTTGACTAAAATAACATGATAATTTGGGAGACGCGGGCTGAGATGGCGTGGACGTTGATGCATTGTTGGAGACCTTTCGAGTGGTTAATGTCGAAGCCGGGATGTTGGTTGAACTGGCCATGATGATGAATGCGTATATCCGTGTCCGTAAGAAGTCGGAGGGTATATATTAAAGATGCTTGTCGATGGGCAGCGTGAGCTTGAGATGATAATTATGAGGATGGGGCGGGGTTGTACCCGTTCTCTTGCCTTTTTGAATTGAAAGAGGCTTGAGGAGAGAGCTGCGATTGTCTTCATTTTCCTCCCCCAAATAAGCGACCGTAGGAACCTTGTATTCCAAAGAAGTCGTCAATCAGAGTAAATAACATATGAAGGCGACTGCACTGCATTGATAGATTAGGTCGTATATTCGGCGTATATTATACAGACCTGGCTGCATATTCCAATTATTGATTTTGACGGAGATGGAGATGTTGCAGGTGGCTCGAGAGGCAGTATATATCACAGCGCTTTAGAGATTTCCAATGCAGCTTTAGCAAAACAAAACAACAGAAGCAGGGAGATATTAAAGAGGTGTATTTCTTGTAACAAATTCGTACGGAAAGCGGAAAATAGTTGACAATCTAATAACAGCCTTTGAAACCCAATAAAAATGAGTGCCTGCTTGGATAGATTTGAAGTTCGAGCTTGGATCAAGGCAGATTGACCAAGCAATCTCACACTCTTCTCAAGCCACCAAAAGACCGTTGACCCGACCTTGCCTTTATGATCGCCGTAAGATCGAGATTTATTGTATACACTGAGTAATAAGAACGTAAATCACTCCACCGTCAGCCTCCGCAGTCAAGAGTGAGTTCAAATCGTTCTCAGCCCGTAGTAGTGATTTGTGAAGGTAGATTTTGATGGAGTAACAAATCGCGCTCACTGTATTGTAAGATCCATTAGCTATTTACTCAAGGAGACGTAGAATAGGGCCATAGATAATAAGCAATAAAGGTGAATTTAGAGGCGAAGAGAGAGTGAAGTGATGTGAGGTTAGCTTGGCTTGGCTTGGGCTTGGGTTCTGGTGGTTCACCGTTCACGGCCCTAGCTGAGTCATCATCCCATCATCTCGAGACGCCGACGCCCCAACGCCCGCATTAATTTTTTAGATTACCTCCACCCATCATCGACAAGAAGTCAACCCGACCACGCCTCCAAACAGGCGCACAGGCGCTCAGCTACATGCTCTCGCGCAGATCCTCTCACCATGGCAGCTAACAACGATCTACTGAAATGGGTGACCAGCGACGTGGATTTCTACTCGCTCCTGGGCATCACATTCGAACAATGCTCCGAGTCGGAACTACGACGCGCCTACCGCAAAACAGCACTGAAATACCACCCCGACAAAGTGGGCAAGGACTTTGATCCAGATAAATACGAGCTGTTCCAGGCGGCGAACGATGTGCTCAGTGATGCCGAGTTGAAGGCCAAGTACGACAATCATCGCCTGGCGAAGATCCAGAAGCAGAGGGCGAATGAGCTGTTTGAGGGCAAGAGGAGGCAGATGAAAGAGGATCTTGAGGCGAGGGAAAGAGGTGGTTTGTCCATGGGGCTGAAGAGGCCGAGGGAAGATGATGCGCAGAGTGAGGGACAACAGGAATTGCGGAAATTAGCTGAAGAAGGCAGGAAACGAAGGGCGGCGAGGGCGTCGATGATGTCTGAGAATATCAAATTCGATACCACTTCTTCCCCCGCTCCAGCTCCCCGGAGCCCCAGAAAGGAGCATCCCCAAAAAGAGGAACCCGAGACGGCTCCTGCAGAGCAGCTGGAAGAGGACGATGTCGAGAGACTCGAACGGAGAATACGAGAAGCAGCAGAGGCCAAGGCAAAGCGGAAAGCAGAGAAGAAGGCTAGGAAGAGTGGGATTTTTGTCCCTGCAGACTCTCCATCTGTGGGCTCAGCTTCTAGGCCAAAGCTGGCAGACCGAGATACAGCTACACCTATCAAACGTCCTGACATCTTCAAAGGATTGAAAGCTGACGAGAAGTCTTCAGCATCTCCCAAATTCTCTTTCTCGCCCAGCACACCTAAGAACGACTTTTCGGCCACCATGGCGAGACTTAAAGCTGCAGAGAAGCAGAGGTTAGAGGAGGAGATCAGGCAACAAGAGGCCGAGGTGGTAAAGTGACGATTTGGGGGATTCCACGGTCTATGAGATACCCTTAATTGATTTTAGCATGGCGTTGGGGACATACTTGTAAGACATTGCTATACCAGAATGAAGATACAGTTAGGGTGCTATTAGCATTTTTTATTACATGGTGTTGTACATGTGATCTCATAAAAATACAGTTTTTACTACTCTCTCAAGTGCCATGACGGAACAAAAGCCTTCACTTTCAACTTCTCAGGGTCTAACCCCTCAACCTGCCACTCCATCTTAAACTCATCCCCTTCCTCATACCCACCAGCTTCTCCCCCTACCCGGACATCAGTCATCATCGCCAACCGACACAGCCCCAACCCAACATTCCCCACGCCACTCAAGAACTTCCCCGCATGCCTCCCCCTCTTCTGCCACGGGGCAATCCCCGTATCCCTCGGGATCCTCCCCACGCCATACTCCTTCTCTGGATCATACACCAAGCTCGTCGGCATCGGCTCATCGATCCCATACAGCATAACTGGCAAGATCCTCTTCCTCACCACCCCCCTATGATGCGTCCTAATCGTCAACTCCTGCCCCACGTAACAGCCCTTCCTATAATCCACACCCCCCATATAATCAACATTGCTCTCCTGCGGCAGCGCACTCGTATACACAAGCTCGCCCTGGCCCTCCGGTACACCCCTCAGGTACCTCCGCACCCTATACACATCCTCGCCGACTTCCTCGCCGTCAACTTCCGGCCGTTGGTCGCCGGGGAGGATAAGTCGGCGTCCCATGCCAGGCGCGCGTTTATCTTCACATCCCATGCCCCCCTCTCCTTTCCCCCTTCCCCTCGACAGAATGCGCACCCTCATCCCACGCGCCCCAAACCCCCCTCTCCCCTTCCTCCAACACCCTAACCGTAAACTTAGACCTCAACTTATACCTCCTAACATGCTTCGCCAGACCTTCCACCTCCCTCGCATCGACTTCAATCAACCAGCCCCCATCTTCAGCTCCAGGTTCCGCGAACGGGTAGACGAAAACATCATACATCACTCTGCCCGCCGAATTCAGAAACGCCGTGTAGAAGCCCGAGATATGTGATGTGGACGTTGAAGAGGGGGTCGGGGCGATGTTCGCAGTTATGGCGCCTTGGAGAAAGCGTGTGCTATCGGGGCCAGTGAGGGAGATGAGGCGGCGGGAGGGGAGGCGGGCGAAGGCTGTTGGGGGAGGTGGGGTTGGGTTGTTGGTTGTGGCCGTGGTCGTGAGATTGCGAGTAAAGGAGGGAGTGTTGCGGCGGCATGTGGTGCAGATGTATGGCGAGAGCCGGGGGAAATTTGGAGGCTTCATGTTGGGGAACATTGGGTGGTGAAGTCAATGTTGAGAGAGAATCTTTCGAGATGCAGTTGGGAGGCTTGATTCTGGTGGTTTGCCGAGTTGATTTCTCAGCCTTGCGGGGAGGCTATAGTCGGTTGGCGAATGAGAGAAGGGCTAGAGGAGTATTATTAAGTTTTGCGGTTTCTTTTTCCCGATTGATATTTCAATCAATTCAAAACGAGGTAGGCATCTGGTAGTCACACGGCTCTCACTATGATGCTTATCAAGTTCGTTGAGCAAAGAGTTTGCTACGCAAGGTCTTTGATTGCTTTTTGGCACCCTATGCATCATTTCATAAAATCCCAATGTTGCAACCCGCTAGCAAATGATCCTAATCCCTATATCACCCATAAAGCTCCATGCACGCGCTCAAATGCTATCTAAGTACTATGTATCAGATAATAAAACTCTTAAATAATCGCACTTGCCAACCGAAAGACCTCCGTCTTATCAGCGACTTCCCTTTGCTACAGCTTCCAGGTAACCCAACAAGAAACCTTTGTCTGCCGGCGAGATAGGAGTCTGGCTTCCACGTCTTGATGTCTTATCACCACCAGATGCAAGACTCCCGACTCTAGATCTTGCACTAGCCTTCACTGTTGAGGCTAAGGGCTCCATTGAAGGACCGTCTCGTCCTAGTGGCGAAATAGGACCTGCCTGTGTCTTTCCAAACATGGAAAGCAGGTTCTGTTTATGGTCCACAGCATGGCTCGGCCGTCGATCAGGTGGCGGAACAAAGGTCGATACTGGATGTTGAATGGTAGTTGCGGAATGCGGCATTCTGAGAGACCCTTGTGAAGACTGAAAGTTTGAAGAAGGAGAAACTGCTGTAGGAGACTGCTGCAATCTATATGCGCTTTGCTGAGAAGCAAATGCGGAGGCAGCAGGTTGAACAGCAGGAGGCGATTGCTGTGCCCTAGACGAGCTTTGTTGTGGTCGTTTCAAAATTTGAGGTTGAAACGGCTTCTCTGGTGACTTGACCGTATGTGGCCCAGTGTTCATTCTCGCCATCGGCTTTTTACCATTTGACTTAGGTTTGCTATCCAATTCCGAACCAGCTGCTGCTGGAGAATGCTTGTCACTCATGTTCGGCGGGCGTCCAAGGATTGATACAGCCCTGAAGGGTAAATTGGATTCTGGATTTAGGACAGGAACGGCTCCATTACTCGCCAAATTGTCAGGAGTTCTCTTGCTGTTGAGTAGAGCGGAAGTGGTAGAAGCGCCGGTTGATAAGGGTTCTACTGCAGAGAGCTCAACTACTGAAGGCGTCGTACTTATAGGAAGTGATGTAGCACCAGTTATATTGGCTAATGATGCAGGCTGCGAAGTTGGACTTCTGAACAAATCAAGAAGTGTCGACTTCTGAGTAGCACTAATAGATTGTCTGGGAGCAAGAGGAGTGGGAGTTAATGGGCCGACATTCTGCCGAACTTTGATCTGAGGTGGTGGTGGCATTTGGCCAGGTTGCAATCCCTCAGCAGGAAGTTCCTGAGGCACGGCACGGGGAGCTGGTATTGATGGTTGATTTGGCGCCGCAGTATATCTTTGAAGAGGAAGGTCATTGGAGCCGGAGACCTCATCAGCAGCTTGATCTCGAGTTTTGAAAGCGTTGAGAAGAGCCAGCGAATGACTAGTAAGTTTTGGGGTTTGTTGTATAGTTTGAGGGCCCATTGTTGCATGCGGGCCAGGAAATTTCGGGGCGCCTGTGGGTCCAGAGACAGCCATGTGAACAGGAGGGGGGTTCTGCTGTATAGATTGAGAAACCATAGGGGAATTAACGGGTCCTCCAGTAAACAAAGCCCTCTGAACATGCGGTGGAAGGGGTTGAGGGTGTATAAGGTGTTGTGATTGATAAGAATGGGGATTTCCTTGGGGTCTTGGAGGGTTTTGACGGCCTACATGACCTTGCTGAAATTCTGCTACATTATGGCGATTGTTCTGGTAATTTCCTTCGCGGTGGGAGAAAGAATCATCCCGTGACTGTATTGGGAAATCCGGTGGAGGTGGAATGTTTGAAAAGTGTGGAGGACGAGGCTGTTGATGGTGAGGAGTTTTAGGCATAGCAGGTTGCATGACTATATTCTCAAGAGGAGTATGAGGAGGTGCATTTGTCGGTAAAGATTGATTAGATGCTGCTGGCTTGAGCAAGGCAAGTAGTGCTTCCCCTGAATTCTTTGACGGTGATTGAGTCGCTGCTTCAGCCTGTAGCCCCTGGGTTGCTGGTTGAATTTTCAATAGGCGGCTCAGAGCTGCAGTAGCGCCCTCCAATGTGTCGGTGTCTAGTTCGGGGGCAGAATGTTTCTTATGGGAAGGCATCTGAGTGGCTGATTCTGCGCCTTGATCTTCCTCTGTCAAGAACTCATCGTAGCTCATGTTAGCGGATAGGTATTGATTACTTGTAGGCCGCTGTGCATCTTTCTTCTTCTGTTCGATGACCCACTTTCGTAGCGGTACCAGAAAAGGGGCAACCATATAGAACTTGCTAGAGTTCGGGACAGCCTGTTTTTGTTGCTGCTGTTGCTGGCTCTTCTTCCTGAACGCCGGAAGCTCTGATAGCAACCACCACTCTATTTTGCTAATCTCTTTTCGTGTCCTGGGCTCAAAATGTGTTTCCATAGGAACATTTCGAAAGACGAACAGCCGCATTTGTTGTTCGCGCATGTTGACTTGAATGGACTTGACATCTCGATTAAGTGGCACTAATCCAGCAGCGTCCAAGTCAAAGCCAGTCTCCTCATAGACCTCACGAATGGCACAAGTCAAGTCATCTTCGTCCTTGGCAATCTTTCCCCGAGGGAAACTCCAGCTAGCCCCTTTCTTCCACCCTTTCACCAGGACAACTGAATCCATACTCGCATTGAGCATCATAGCGCCTCTGACCGGAACTCTCGTTTTGTACGCCAGGAAGTCCTCGAAAGCTCGCATATGGTGCCCTTGCGAGAAAGACGATAGTAGGGGGCAGTGAGCAAAGATTCGTAGACAAAAATTGCGGAGAGACATAGATGGGAGAGATGGGTCCAGCGGCCGGATAAAATCCTCGTAATACCATTGTGCTTCCTCGACCTGAAAGCATATTCGCGGAATGTCTTTCAGATCATCCTCCGGCAGATTGATTATAAAACGGACGCATAGGTCGTCCAGCCCTGAGAAGCTCTAGTCAGCTCTATTTGCGGTCTATAAGTACAAGGAAGGCGCTGTGCAGGGCTGAAGCTATGGAAGCTACATCGATCGTAGTCAAGCAGTTCTCCTGCGCTACACGAAATAACTCACATTCTTCTAGTGTCAAGTTGCTCTCTGTCATGCTGTTTTCCCTTTCCAAGCATATCCACGACTGGATGTTTACCTCCGTCTGGCGCGTGGGGGGCTGATAGACGCACAGTCCTTGCCGTTCGTGATAAGCGGTGATCAAGGTAAAGTGCTGTTGAGCTGAATGCTAGCCTGGTCTCGGCGCCAGGGGGAGGCTGGTGGCGAAGGTTGATAGATGGGGTGGAGGGGAGGGGGTGATGTCTGGACTCAAGCGTTCGGGATAGGATTTGGTAGAGTTGGGTGAGGTTATTGAGTTGAGATCCTACGCTCCACCAGCCACAGCCACAGCTCTCTCACTACCGTACCGTACTCAGCCACAGATACTTTTGTGGCAGTGCACGCTAAAGAAAGCGGCCGCTTAAAATCGGATCAGAAGCTTCGATGACGATTCACTGCTGGGCTGCTGGGCTTGGCAATTTATGGCATGAAAACTTGGAACTGTGTAGAGGTAGGGTAGAGTAGGTGGTAGGCCATTCACAGCCAATTTTAAGTGATTCAAACTTTAAGTGTAATCGATACTTAAAAGATTAAAGGTCCTCGTTTCTCCATCCCTTCTCTCTTCTTTGTGTTCAAGAATAGCACAGCGTTTGCAACTGTTTCACACTCCGAAAGCGACAACCACTCACTAGCTCACCAAGAACCATCAGCACATACAACAAATCTGACCACCGCGGCAAGTGCAAACTGTCGCTTCAGCTGTCTGCTACTTAAGGGCCAGTCCCGTCTGCCACGGGTTTCCCCCAAAATCCACACCCAACAAACCATTCCGCAACCATGACGAGCTTCATCGCAAAGACCGTCGCAAAGAAGATCTTGGGAGAGTCTGCTAAGAACAACTTCGGCCAAGAGGTAAGATCTTTAAATCCTACCCGCCCCTTCACGTACAATCATTGGCTCACATTACCTGCAGGATCCATACTTCGAAACCGTTCCTGCGACTCGACTTGATGGCAACCCTTCCAAAAAGACTAAGAAGAGACGCAAGGCCCTACCACCAGGAATATCAGAACATGATGGGAAGGTTCTTACCAAAGTCAAGCGAAGGGCATATCGTCTTGATATGAGTCTCTTTAACTGCTGTGGAATAAGGTTCGGTTGGTCAAGTGTAATCGGCATAGTCCCATTGTAAGTGAATTCCAATGCGCTATGAATAAAAGCTCGCTAATCATTATCCTCAGAATTGGAGATGCTCTCGATTGCTTCATGGCCATGATGGTCCTTCGCACATGCCAGCAGGTAGAGGGAGGGCTTCCGAAAGACGTCCAAGCAAAAATGATGTTCAATATCATAGTGGACTTTGGTATCGGGCTCGTGCCTTTTCTGGGTGATATTGCTGACGGTACGTAACCACAATTATCCATCAAGGAAGGGAACAAATCTTATACTAATAACCAATAGCTCTATTCCGCGCAAATACCAAGAATGCTGTCGTCCTAGAGAAATTCCTTCGCCAGAAGGGTGCCAAGAACCTCAAGCAACAAGGCCTAGCGCAGAATCTATCTGACCCTACGGATCCTGACGAATTTGACCGGCATTTGAGAGAAGAACTTGGCCCGCCTCCCCAATACACAACTGCCCCGTCTTCGAGACATGACAATGGAAGTGTAAGGCCAACCCAAACGCAAGAGGCAACAGTCCCCGCAGAGAGTAGAGGAGGTTGGTTCAGCGGATTTGGAAGTAAGAAGAGACAACCGGATGTTGAACGGGGCCCAGAGTTGCGTAGACGTGAAGATGACCCTCTGCCGCGCATTCCAAATGACGGATCTCGCCTGGAGAGTAACACGGTTCAGAAAAGTCGACGCTGATGACGGGGTGGCCTGTATTTCATCGATTGTGTTACGATATGAAGATATGAAGCGTTTTGCGGGGTTCTGCTCGGTGTATTTCGTTCAATTCGTTGCTTCTCTTACTGGCTTAGAGATTAGTGCGTTATTACGAAGCTCTTCAGATACCCATAATAAATAATGAATGAACGAATGAATGCCGAACAAAGAACGTCTGATGGTTTGATTTCCTAATCCTTCAACGTGAAATAAGTCTTAAAATCATGGCAGGCTTGCACCGGAAACTACATTTCAAAAGTACCTTACGATACCTACGCGACACGACTGACTTCGACTTCTTTAAATGTTGGATTGGACGATTAAAGAAAGGCGGTATGATTTCAGCCTTTGCATTCTTTCAAAGACATTCAAGACTTTCTCATCCAACTTGGTATTCAATGGTCGGTGTGACAAAGGATTATCAGATCGATCAGATAAATACACAGGGCTCCTCTATATACAGAAAAGCGGCACTAATTTATAACGTTCTAGGCGAAAAGGGACTGCAAGTTGACGAGCGCCGCTTTTTGTATCGGGCACGAGCCGTGCAGTTCAGCCCCTCCAATTTTTGATTCGACGCGTGATTACGCCGTGCCGCCTCGCCTTGTTACTCCAGTAGCGCGTTCCGAAAATCGCGTGTACGAAAAGTACTTAAGCATTGTTATTGTATCCCTCTCCTCTTCCTATCAAGCAACAACTCTACCACCACCCTCTATCCTACGCCAATTGCCTTCTCATTACTCAATCCACATCCTCCCATCTCCCCATCAATCATCATGACTACTCAGATCACTCCTTCAAAGACCGTACGTCTCTATTGCCACTCGATTCCCCTCGTCATCGCGTCAAGATCACTAACTTAGAGATATTCTAGGCCGCGTCTGGTATCGAAGGCCTGAAGATGGGTTCTCCACTCAAGAAGATCAACTTCGAGCCTGCCGGCAAAGAGAACACACCTTTCGACGCCGACGCGTCGCTCGTTGACGACATCGAACCCAAGAAGTCTCTCGTCGAGCAAGTCAAAACAGAGGAGAAGGCAGTTGCAGTCGCATCTAAACTCAAGCCCGAGGAAGCGGATGAGCCTTTGCTCATGGAAAACCCTAATCGATTTGTTCTTTTCCCACTCAAGTACCATGAGGTATGTGTCGCGATATATCTACGCGTTACGCGTAAAGTGTTTGTCAATTGCTAACATTCCCACCCTACAGATATGGCAGATGTACAAGAAGGCACAAGCATCCTTCTGGACCGCCGAAGAGATTGATCTGTCAAAAGATCTTCACGATTGGAACAACAAGCTCAACGACGACGAACGATACTTCGTTTCTCACGTCCTCGCATTCTTTGCCGCGTCAGACGGAATTGTGAACGAGAACCTTGTCGAGCGTTTCAGCGGGGAGGTCCAAATCCCCGAGGCTCGTTCCTTCTACGGTTTCCAGATCATGATGGAGAACATCCACTCGGAGACATACTCCCTCTTGATCGACACATACATCAAGGAACAAGCCCAAAAAACATATCTTTTCAACGCGATTGAGACCAGTAAGCTGAATGCATAAACTCTTGAGTCTACCAAACCTAATGCGTCTCTAGTCCCTTGCATCAAGAAGAAGGCGGACTGGGCAGTGAAATGGATCGAAGACAAGGATTCCACATTTGCTCAACGTCTTGTTGCCTTTGCCGCTGTGGAGGGTATCTTCTTCAGCGGTTCATTCGCATCCATCTTTTGGTTAAAGAAGCGTGGTCTGATGCCTGGTCTCACCTTCTCCAACGAGCTTATATCTCGTGATGAGGGTCTCCACACCGACTTTGCTTGCCTTTTGTTCTCACACTTGAAGCACCGCCCAAGCAAGCAAGCCGTTCAAGATGTCATCACCGAGGCTGTTCAGATCGAGCAAGAGTTCTTAACCGAGGCTCTCCCATGTGCTCTCCTCGGCATGAACGCCAACCTCATGAAACAGTACATCGAGTTTGTTGCTGACCGTCTTCTCCTCTCCCTCGGCAACGAGAAGGTATACAAGTCTGCCAACCCATTCGACTTTATGGAGAACATTTCACTTGCTGGCAAGACCAACTTCTTTGAGAAGCGTGTGGGTGATTACCAAAAGGCGGGTGTCATGGCCGGTACACAGAAGAAGCACGAAGATACCGAAGCCCAGACAGAGGCTAAAGCCGAGAACGGCGGTAGCTTCAACTTTGATGAAGACTTCTAGATGTCTGTATCGATAGTATTTGTTTTAACGGCGTTGGCATCTCATCTCACTTTGTACATGAGCATTATATTCTCTTCTCTCATGAGACATTTGCATATATGGCAGGTTGCCGGGTGCAAACGTGTTTGCTTTGGTGGGTGGATGGACATGGCTCTTTTATCAAAGGCGTTGTGGAGTCTGGATATGAAAGGATGGGCTCAAGTAGGATAAGATTCCGAGAACGAAGATAGCAGAGCAGTAATGAAAATGTTCCTCTTATGAACCACATCTTTGTTCAATTTAATGTGAGATGCCAAAACCTTAGAACCATCTAGCAATGCAAATCGCTATGCCACCGCCTGAACGCCTCGAATGCATTCTCAACCTGCACTTATCCGTGCAACATGCAAAGGTGGTATAACCCTATATTCCATCCTCCAAATTCAACACATCCCAACAACACATACCCACCTCATTTCTTCCCCTTCTTCTTCTTCCCCTTCCCCCCACCACCTGCAGCACCACCCGCCGCTTTTCCACCCTGCTGAGCCGCCTTCCCATCCCCTGCCCCTCCAAGCACCTTCCCATCCTCCCGGCCCTCCTCCTTCACCTCCTCTTTAACTTCCCCCTCCGCGCCCTCCTCCCTGACCTCCAGCCCCGCCATCCCGCGCCCCAACCGCCCCAATATCATCATTAACCGCCCCACCTCCGCCGCCTTATCCGTCTCGTACTTCAACGTCGCGCCACTGGCTGGATCGTAGGTTTTCAGTGTGAGCAGGGCTGTAGATTCGGTGGGTGGTGCGTTGCGGCGGGGTTTCGATTTGGATTTTTTGGCGATTGTGCTGGCGTGGGTGTATTTTGTTGTTATGCGTGTCTGGGGGAAAGAGGGTGTTAAAGAGATGGTAATTGACTGGGGGGAGGGGGAAGGGGACAAACAGTGGAGGGACGCGCTTGGAGGAGGAGGGTGGATTGCGTGAGCCATTCTTGGGCTGTTGCTAGGTATGGCATTCTGAGGGTGTGCGCAGGCAGCGTAGGAGGGAAATAGGCGTTTGGAGGTGGCGGTTGTGAGGGTGCTGTGTGGTTGCTGGTGTTGTGGAAAGAGAGGCGTGGTCTTCCCAAGCTCGCCAGGTTGGTGGGGAGCAAGGCTGAGATGGGATGGTGAAAATGTGGGGGTTTTGGTGGATGGCAAGCGAGCTAAAATAAATTGCGGCCAACTTGACTTCACTCCAAGCACGTATTTAACCCCATCTAATACAGTACATAATTGTAATCGGCGTTCTTGTGAAATCGGACGAAATGGGACAAGTGTTACCGTAATAATTCCTTTTTTCTTCCTACTGCCCTTTTGGGTTCTTCCTTGCTATGACTTCGAGTTCGAGTCAATAATTGTGGTTTTTTGACTCATTCAGGGACAGGCATATTCTTAGAGAAGTCTCATTGGTCTTCCTGAATCCTGTGACCTTTACACCGTCATTATCTTGTTTCTTTGCAGATGATGGGAAAATACAAAACAACTGTCTCTCCCTCGAGTTGATTTCCAATTCAATTATTCTTTGATATACTTCCTCAAATGGCATCTCAAACAAAGCCTCCCATTTCAAACCTCCCGCTCCCACTTGAGCTACGGAATAAGATCATGGGCGAGTTGTTGGTGGATCCTGACAATCCCATGGCATTTCGTCCCATTTGGGATTTCAGCACTGCTATCTGGCTGCTAAAGAGACCTGGACAAGACTTGCCATACCTGCGCCAGTTCCAGGTTCTTAGCCGGGTGTCAAGAAGCTTGCGCGATGAGGGTACGAGGATTCTACCTAATTCCCCATCAGCATTAATTTACCACCACTTCACGCTCTTCTTGGGGTATTAGTATCTACGTCCGAGTATTCGTAAAGGAGCAAAGCTAATTCACATTCATCACAGCACAGAGTGTGTTCTTTGGGCAAAACCAATGGCGTCTAGAACTTCGACTTGCCAGAGAACTCTTTATAGACCAAGTCCCAGGCCAGCATTTTTCAAAATGGAAAAAACGTCGCGGTGGCATCGTCGGAACCGACACCGTATATTTTGTCAAAAGAATATGGGGAGATCAAGCTCTGGATCGTATGCGGAACGTACATTTATTGATCAATGTACGGGATCCCATCATTGAAGATTTCATCAAGCAACGATTGGAAAATCTGGTTCAAGTGTTCCAACGAGGTAGTAATCTCAAGCGGCTTTCGGTGGAGTTAGAAATCATGTATACCGCCGATAAACTTAGCGGAGGTTGTGGAAATGGAAGGACTGCAGAATGCAGGAAGATCAGGGGATGTTCGAAGCTAGAAGACGGGTCGAGGGCGGTTCCAATCGCGGATAAGTACTTGGAGCCTTGGCCTGTGCAGGAGAGGATTCTGGAGCCTGTTAAAGAGCTGAGGGGTTTAAAGCAAGCTATTGTCTTTGGAAGTGTGACTGATAAATGGGCTCTGTGGTTGGAGCGGTGCATGATGTCGAATGAGGCTGTTGTGCCGGACTTCGAGAAGATGGAGGATATTTCGGTATGATTGTCAAACGTGAGAGGGAATGGGGGATTCTGCGTTCGTAAGAGGTTTGCAAGTGGGGTTTGAGTAGGAGTTTAACAGATTATGGAATTTGAGAGCCCGGTAGTATTTACTGTCCTAGTATAAGATGAACCATGCCTTGCCAATTGTTTGTATATAGTAAGTAGCAAACTAAACTTCGCCCGTCGGAATTTAGATTTCTCCATTTGAAATTAAAAAACCCAAGAATCTTTTCTCTCTTTTCTCTCTTTTCTCCGGTGCTCTATTAATTGAAATAAATTCTTGGATATTTGTAAATACTTCTTGCTACTCTTGTGTTTATCATAGCAGTTTTCTCTTTTGGTAGCAATCGACTAGACGAAAAGCGGAGCATCGTGGAGCAACTTCTCGCAGGACGACCCCTCATCAAATGAAAATGACTCGACATTCTTGACAGCCTTGCAGCTTCCACTTCCTTCTTGCAAATTCTAGCTTCGGTTTTTGGAAATGACTCACCAGCCAAACCTTTATCTTCCTTAACATGAGGAGACCTTGGACCTCTCCACGAAGCCACGATGGTTTCTATTCCTCACGACATGCAGACCCAGGCTGACAACCAACGCAATGGCGTGCAACCTGACCTTGATATCACTACGAGTGGCTCTGCAACTCCAACGGAGACTACAGTAGCATCTGAAGCTACTTCCGTCACTGAATCAGGAAACGAAATTGATGGACATGCACTTGCTTTAGATATGCAACAACGCTGTCGGCTTTTACTCGATGAATTAGAGCAATTTCAGGCCTTTTTGAAGGAGGAAGGCAAAGAGCACTCTGCGGAACTAAGGGCTTTGAAGACCGAAGTTCAGTCCGAGATGAAAGTCCTAGACAAGGTTAGTGGCGACGCTTCCCAAAAATCGCAGCGATTGCTAATACTGGTACACAGATTGCAAAAGTCCCTTCCAATCCCAGAAGTATACAGTCCTTACACTCCTCGAATCTCTCGTTCTTCACGGCCGTTTGGGATACCGCGAAAAAATGTTCCGGGATTTTGGCGCTGAGACGTTATTTTTACTGGCATGGCCGAAAACCTCATATCAATGGCAGGGCTTCAACATCCGCATTAGATCGCAAAAAACGTAGTGCAGTGGTTGATATTGTTTGCCAAGATGGCTTGGAATTCGTCAAAGTGTCTACAATTCTTGAGAAAAGGATCATTTGGGATCTAGCAAAGGCTGGCTGGGTGGGGAGCGACTCGAGCGAGGAAATGGAGCAAAGCGATGACGACGACGGGCCCGAAGGTATTTTAAAGCAAGCTGAAGGTCTATTGAAAGCTTCCCGAGAAACAAGAGTCAGATACCGCCATCCCATAGTTCGTCTGGTTTTCACAAGAATATCACGTACACCCCAGTCCAAAGAGGTTGCCCGAATCCTCCAGCAAATAAGGAATATGGGTATCATTGTGCAGACCTCAGAAGATATACTTGACTCTCCTCCAGTGGCAGATGTTCTTGATCGTCTGGCTCCAGGGAGTTGCTATTCTCTAACCAATGTTCTAAATCTGGATTGCACTGTTCTACTCGCCTTTGTCAGTGACCTGTCTCATGGACAAGTTGAGCCACAAGATTGGCACAACGAAATGATATCGACACAGAGAGCCATGGAAGCCAAAAAGCCACTTCTTCCGAACAAATTATGGCCCGTTTGCACGTCCAGGAAGCTAGTTTGCACCAAAGAAGCAGCAACTAGAATGCAAGAAATTGCGAGAATTATTGGTACCCCAGCAGAGAAACGCAGGACGGCATTGCTCTTGGGTCTCGATGGCACTTCTGAAATGACTAATAAGCAAATCCTGGAAGAGTTTAAAACGCTTACAGAATACAAAATACCTGCAGATTGGCGTTTACCAGTCGAAGTGGTTGATGTGGATTTCACAGCCCTCAAGTCAACTCTTCCCCCTAGTGTTGAGAAGGTATCTGAAGCTCTGTCTGACATGAATCGGTCAGTATTCCTTTATGGATGGGCGAGTGGCTTCACAACTCTCAGCAGTAATCGTGCTGTGGCAAAGGAGATCGAATCTATCATCGAAGAAAATCGAATGTCTGATGAAGTGGGACCTGACATTTGGCCATGTTCTTTGCGGTCACTTGTTGGGAAAGAGAAAGAAAGAAGGGGAGCGCAGGACATGCTTCCAGTCGGTAAGTAGCTAAAGCTAATCAGCGAATAAGTATCAATTTACATATTTGTGCTCGTAACTTTGCTTTTGGTGGTAAATTACGGGTAAAGCGCTCCTAGAGAATGGTGCTTTACGTTTTCTAATCTTGGCTCCTTACAACTTGGACATCTGATCTCAACTAAGGGAGGACCGACCTGATTCCACCAAGTGATGGGCCCTGAATTGGGTATCGAAAACCGTTTGTAACCCGCACAGCTCTCAAATATTAAGACCATGCGTGTTCACTGTTATAGAATTGCTGTTATACTTACATGGGTGTGTGTCTTTTTTTATCAAATATGTGTTGTTTTTTAGAGGCTCATATCATAGGGCCTCGCTTGCTTCGTACCGGCAGGACTTATCACTGCACTTTTTCCCCCTAGTCCAGTAGCATACCTTAAAGGTCTTTACTGGAAGATGGTAGTCTTGATAATACTACCTATAGTCTGTACCCTTACTTTGAACGTTCTCGGAGAATATTATGGATGGTGAGCTAGAAATTGGTTCCCGTGCTGACGCCATTTTGTTGAAATCGATGGGTTCCAACCCTGGGTTACGCACATTTATTGCAGCCAGTCTTTCCTTCCTTTCAAAACGCTGTTTAATTTACTTCACGTTCAAAAGTCTAAACACCCCAACTCTTAATTCGTCTTTCCTCTTTGCCTTATCATTTTCAACCATATCATCACTCTATGTTATACCTCCCCCTTCAAAAATATTTACAGGGGCCTAAAGTCCAGCTGTTATACTTTACTTGCTGGCGAATTCGAAAACCTTCAACATGGTTCTGGCTTTTAGAAATAGAATGGTGGATTTCCTGTTCGGTGACGAGAGGCAAGAAGAGACATTTTCCAAGTTCAAGGTCAGCACTTTCGTTCCCCCTAAAGGCTGCCTCTACTTGAGAGATCTCTTTTCTTGAAACTCATCATACTGACCCGTTTGGGGCAGGAAGCTCGCGGACGCTGGGGATACGTCGAATGCGAGGCCGTGGAAACAATGAATGGCCTAGACGCGTGTCTCTATATCATGTACCTCAGATTCACAACAGATGTCTCAATCATTACACCTATGGTCAACGCGAGCTTCGGGACGGCCTTTACGAAAACAGACATTGACAAATTTCTTGTGCCTGTCCGGGCGCTGGTTTTGATGAAATATCTCATCGAGGAAGAGATTGAAATCAAAATCGAGCAACGGAACAGAAAGTATGGAAGTCCGGTTGAAATTGGACGTGTATACTACTGGTAAGATAATCCTATCTTGCCATGTTTCCATTGTCCTTGGACATATCCCTACACCTTCCCCTTCGAGGGTGTCTAACATCAGCTCTTGAGTCGTATCCCCCGAAGCTCTCTTAAAGCTGACTCTCGGTTCTCACCAGGAGGTATCTTGTCGATAATCAGCTTAACGAAGCCAACATTGCACGCCTCCTTAATTGGGGTCTTTCCTCCGACGGAGGTTATTTATCTGATTTTTCCAACAGTTCAGACGGTCAACCACAATGCTCGTCGTCGTCGAGCCATTCGAGCTCAGAACGCATAGACGGCAACGCGAGCGATGAGAACGAGTTCCAAAAGGCACAAATAGACAAGTGGAAGCGAACAAGATTCGAAAATCCTGTAACTGGCCGACGGAGCAGGAATCTGTACTTCCCGCCATTTCGGTTACTGAGATGGTGGGACCTAGCCGACGACAAAATCTCCGCCATAATCCACACGTTCCCTTCCCTATACGCCGAACTTTTCCAAGATGGTGCAGGAGCATACATCAACCGGCTAAAGTTCTGTACAAAGCCGGCTATGGAAATACTGTCCGAGTTCATACTCGACTGCTTCCCATTTCGGCGGATCGTGCAGACTTTCATGAGGATACAAAAATACAACCTCATATTTACGCCTCTCAGGGATGAGTCATTCGATTGGCAGTGGCTGTGGTATTGGACCGAGTTGTGTCTTGTGGATGAATTTCTGCTGGAAGACGATTGGGTCGTTACGGAGAGAGATGCAGACGATGGCTCGTGGAGGGATTATATGCTTTGCCGTGACGGGTGTATGTTGCAAATATCTTAAGGCACAGCACTATTCACAGCGAGAACGAGGTGAAGAAATTGATGGACCGCACTGGTCTGATCTAGAGCTTGTGGAACAGCTGTGCGGGATAGATATCCTGGAGAAGGTTGAACCGTGTAGAAGAAACACTTGTATGCAAGCTATACCATGCCACCAGCTGCTCTTTTGAGCCGTGTAAACATATCGATTTCCGTAGCCGTTAAAGCTAGGAATAAAGTCAATAAACTATAATCACAATACCTATGGGTTATTCTCACGTCTTATTTGCTGCAGAACGGAACCTTCAACATTTATTCCCGAGTAATCTGAGTCGGATCAGTTGCTGTGGTCTATACTCTCGGAGTGAACACACACAAATGATTTGAACAGTGGCCGCATCCACCGTAAATAATGCCAGAACCAAGATGCTCATGTAGTCGTCGCCTTGAAACCCCTTGAAGTCAACCGTCTTCATTCTTGTTGCAAAACGCGTCAGCAGGACGAGTGCCCCTACACCAGAGAGAGCCCATTCCTCTTGAAGAAACCTTGGGGCCTTAGTCGTCGTTCAAATTAAGAAAGAAGGATGAGTGCAATCAACGTACCTCGGGGTCTCTACTGATAGCATTCATGTTGCACAACGATACAGGTACAGGGTACTGTAACTGGTGCCGATCGAGACACAACACAACATAAAGGTCTATGTTTCCAGAAGGAGAAGAATGCACTTTGACAAAAAGAAACGAAAAAGGTCAAATGTAGGATGCAGGATGCAGATACAAGGTATAAGTATAGGTAAAGTATAAGTGCGAGCGTATATCCAAATCCGAGAGTGGAGAAGACATGCTTCTAGAATCTCGGCTGGGACTAGCGTTGAACTTGGACTGGACCATCACTGGAACTACTCGTGCATGGGCAGGAAGACTGATACAGACAAGCATAGGAAGGGAAAGGAAAAGACAAAAGAGCGAGGACTGACTAAGTAGTACAGGACTATATATCGAATTACATATGATGATATACGGAGTAAAGCACCGATGGCTGAATGGATGGATGGATGGATGGATAAATGAATGAATGAGTGAGTGAATAAAGAAAAGAGAATATCATACCTATAAGTAAAAGCTCATCCATCAACCCCCTTCCACATCCAGTCTTAAAAGGGGCAAAGTATTAACTTCATCTACCGAACCAGACCAGACTCCTGTGGTATACCGAACCTAACCCAACCCAAGTGATCCTTTCCCTTCCCTGTATTATGTAGCAAGCATAATAAATGTACTCACTAATCGACCAATCAATTCTAAACTGCTCCCTCGCAAGCAAGTATTGCAAATAGCCATGCCATACCATGCATACACGCACCTCCATCATTTCACCCTCCCCTTTCCCTTCCTCCTCCCCTTCCCCTCCGCCTGCTGCGGCGGCAGACTAAGCATTCCCCCCTCCACCTCCCCCTCCTCCAGCCCATCACCCTGCACACCCACCATATCCTTCAACTTGTCCTGCGCCGTGATAGAAAACAGCAGATCGCGATTCTGTTCTGCCAGATCGGCGTTTTCCTCCTTCAGACTCGTCAACTGGCTGCTAATCTCCATCATGCTTTTATTCACATGCCCGATCCTTTCCATAAGCCCCTCGCTAACCTTCTTCTCCTCCACGAGACTCTTGCCAAAACCCCGCGCGACCTCGGCTGAACGCTCTGCTTTTTTCTTTTCGCGCGCGAGGTCTTTTTCTAGTGCAACCACGACGTCTTCTCGTAGTTTCTTGTTTTCCGATTCCAGGGTAGCGAGTTGGGACATGGCCGAGTCGGCACGAGTGGAAGCGGAACTGGCAGCGAGGGATGCGGCACTTGCTTTCGCGACGGCTTTCCCGACCAGCTCTTCGAAATACACACGTTGGCTCTCTAGCTGGCTGCTGAGCAAATGCGTGTACTCCATGCCGATCCTCTCCAGCTTCTCCGCTGGCACCATATCCATCCCCCCTCTGCCACTGCCGTCCCTCTCCCTGCCCACATCCACAACCTTGCCATCGCCTTTATCCCTAATGAGCCGGTGCACCCACATGTCGTCCGCATAGTCCCAGACATGCTGGGTCTCGATCTCGAGCGCGAAGTTGTGCGCGCTGTCTTTCCAGTGCTCTTTGGCGTGGCCGCCCTTGTAGCGGCCGCAGCCGACGGCACCGCAGATCAGGCAGATCCAGAGGTCGTCGGTACAGTCGCAGACGCTGCAGAGGGAGGCTTCGCCGCTGCCAAAGGGCGGGTTGGATGGATCGTAGGCGGTATTGGGTGGGGTGGAGAGGGATGGGTTTGTGTGCCGGCAGACGGGACAGCCGGAGCCTTTCCATTTTTGGAGGCATGCGCAGTGGAAGACGTGTTGGCAGAGGATGGTGAGGAGGCCGGTTGTGTCGTCCATTCGCTCGAGGCATACTGGGCATGTTGGGAGCTCGACGAGGTTCGGTGTAGGCGGTGGGAAGGGTTTGAGGAAGCTGGATGTAGAGGGCGTGAAGGGGTCGTGAGAGAGCTCTGGGAAGCTAGTATTGGGTCGAGAGTTGGGTGTTTGGAAGGTTATAGATTTGATAAAGGTGACATGACAGGTTTCTGGCTGTAGAACTATTAGCACAGCCCTCAGATTGCAAAAGCAGAGAACAGAACGACTTACCTCCATACTATTAAAAGGCTTTCCATCAAAATCAGATCTCCACCTCGCCGCCTCCCCACTATCCCTAAACTTCATAAGGACCAAATAACGATTCATCCTCCCCGTCATAACCATCCTAAAATGGCTAACCATCTTCCTCGTCTTCTCACCCACAAACCCCAAGAAATCACTAGCTGTAAAGTATCCCGGCACAGCAGGAATACACAACGTAGTGCAATCCTCAACACCCTCGCCCTCCTTCTCCCCAGCAGTATAAACCTCAACTCCCATCCCCAGCCCAGGCGTCTCCTCCCCATCACGATATAAATGCACAACACCCCACCCCAACCTCTGTATTCTTGCCCCCGAAACTCTCATACCTGGCTTTCGTAACCCGGCCTATACCTCCAGCAGCCAGGCCAGCATTAATCCCATCTTGTTGAACCGCAGAACTGCTCTCCCCTCTCCGATGTCCAGGTCTGTGTCCATGTCCATTCATACTACTCTCTCCCTTCTCCCCTCCTTTCCCCTTCTCCACGACCATCTCCCCATCCATATCCTTCCCCGTATCCAAATCCAAACTCTCAACCCTCACCCTCCCAAACCTCCAATCCCGCTCCGCAGTCCTCAAATCCCTATTGCCCCCCAGCAACGGCTTCCCAGGCCCCTCTATACCCACAGCCTTCTTCTTCGCCACAAGCTCCTCCAAACCCGGCCCTGAACCCGAACTATTACAAGTCAACGCCAAAGCTCTCTTAGGTCCACAATCAATAACCCCACCCCTCCCACTTCCGCTTCCACTTCCCCCCTCTTCTACCCCAGAAGCTCTGTAGCAATTCCGATTTCGACTGCTGCCGCTGCTGCCGCTGGGTGGTTCAACAGTATCACTAACAGGCCACTCCTCGTTACCGAAAATATCGCTATCTGATGCTGGGACCCAGATTCCTCCTCCTTGTTCTCGGTTGATTCGTTCGGCCGCAGAGGATGAGCCGTAAGGGTATAGTTCAAAGGTTAGGTGGTAGAAGTATGGCATCTCATTTCAGGTTCAGTGCGTGGGGCGTTTGCGCATTGTGGGTGAGTGGGTTCGAGATGATTCTATGGGGCGTTTGTTGATTATGGAATGGAGGGGCAAGGTGATGAAGGGAGGCGATGTAATAAATTAGTAGCCTCACTGTTCTCATTTTTTTGAGGTGCAGCCTTGCTGATACGCAACAGTCAAAGAAACCTTGTATGGAATAACACATTATTTAACAAATTAATCAAGTCACATTCAGTCTGATTGAAACAACAAGCCGTCCTAATTATATTCATTGGACTACTTGCTGTGCAGTTGTCTGCAGATGCTAGCTATGCACCATTTGCTACCCTATGTACTAGTCACACCAGCGAGAATCCATCTCGGAAACCGACAACGCCGTCGCAATAAATTAAAACCAATGCAGAAATCGCCTATTGACCTCCACGCAGACGCAACACCAAGTGGAGAGTGCTCTCCTTCTGGATGTTGTAGTCGGACAAAGTGCGACCATCTTCCAATTGCTTACCAGCAAAGATCAATCTCTGCTGGTCAGGTGGGATGCCCTCCTTATCTTGGATCTTTGATTTTACGTTATCGATTGTGTCCGAAGACTCAACTTCTAATGTGATCGTCTTTCCAGTTAAAGTCTTGACAAAAATCTGCATACCACCACGGAGACGGAGGACCAAGTGTAGGGTAGATTCCTTTTGGATATTGTAGTCGGAGAGAGTTCGCCCATCCTCAAGTTGCTTTCCGGCGAAGATAAGACGTTGTTGATCAGGTGGGATACCTTCCTTATCTTGGATCTTCGACTTCACATTATCAATCGTGTCGGAAGATTCGACCTCGAGGGTAATCGTCTTGCCGGTGAGGGTCTTGACGAAGATTTGCATTCCACCACGGAGACGGAGAACCAAATGGAGGGTGGACTCCTTTTGAATGTTGTAGTCTGAGAGCGTACGACCGTCCTCGAGTTGCTTACCAGCGAAAATCAGGCGTTGTTGATCCGGGGGGATACCCTCCTTGTCCTGAATCTTTGACTTGACATTGTCGATGGTATCGCTCGATTCAACCTCAAGGGTGATGGTCTTTCCGGTCAAGGTCTTGACGACTATTGGGCACGTTAGAAGCTGACGATAAGGCTGAGCGGCGAATGTGGTAACTTACAGATCTGCATACCGCCACGAAGACGGAGGACGAGATGGAGAGTCGACTCCTTCTGAATGTTGTAGTCGGAAAGGGTGCGGCCGTCCTCAAGCTGCTTGCCTGCGAAGATCAAGCGCTGCTGGTCCGGAGGAATGCCTTCCTTGTCTTGAATCTTGCTCTTGACGTTATCGATGGTATCGCTAGACTCGACCTCGAGAGTGATGGTCTTGCCAGTGACTAGAATACGTGTTAGAGACTGCATAAGATGAGGTGGCGATGACACCACAAGGCGGTAGGGGAAGTTGAAAACTTACGGGTCTTCACAAAGATTTGCATGTTTGCGATGTGACGATGTTGGTTCGGTTGATGATGATGTTTGTGTAGAGGATCTTGATGATCGAGAGAGTGTGCTGTGTAAAGGGTGGGTGTTTGGAGTTGTGTTGATGGGAAGGAAAGGTGGCGTTGGTGGAGGAGGAAGATGCTTAAGTAGGTTGATGGAGATGGTCAGGCGGGCGTGGTTGCTTATTCACCCGAAGTACGCTAGCTCTGTTTGTGAATGATGGATGGCGGGCAAAGGCGCAGCGGGAGTGTGAATTTGGATTGATTCCAGGCGGTAGCAGGCACCAGAAACTTCGATCTAACTAACAGTCGAATTTGCTGGTATGACTCGAATTCTGGGATTGGATTGGATTGGATTGGATTGGATGAATCTACGTACTACTCCCTCCCTACTCGTTGGTACTCGTTCATTCATTGATACTACGAGACTACCTTGATACTCGTCCTCGTCCTCGTCCCTTCTTTGTCCTCCCTCGTTCTTTCGCCACCAACCGCTTGCGATAAGAAAGAAGTCCAAGCGCTCAACCAACGCATGACGCCGACCGAGCCACAGTACTGTTCGTACTGTACTCCACCCAAGACAGTTAGCGCCTCTCAACCCCGCCTCTCCATTCCCAGCCCAGTCGGCATGCCCTCTCAGTTCATCAGGAGAGGTCTTTTCTCTCACTCCTACTGTTTCTCTGCTTTACTGTATGCTTAATGCTTTATGCATGCATGTTGCATCGTATGATGATATTAATCTTCCTTCCTTCCTTCCCCTCTTCTTTCCTTCTCTTCAAACGGGCCTGGGCGGCGGGGCTATCCGATCCGATAACGAGTCGTGCTGCCTGCGTCATCGGTGAGATTGCGACTTATCTCCATGATCTGATGGCAGACTTCCTTCGGGTCAACACTGACGGACGGGACAGGCGATAAGGGAATGTCATCAAATGCCCAAGGGAGTCCATCCAAGAGGTTTTAGATTTATGTTCGTGAGTATTGCACCAGTACAATCATCCAGAGCATCTGGATACATGATTTTGTATCTCGTATCTTGTGCAAGTGTACCCAGGTAGGTCATTTCTTCACTCACTCACTCACTCACTCACTCACTCACAAGAATCCCTTCACTTCCTCTCAATTAATCATGTCCAACCACGTTGATGTTGAATTTTCTCATTTTTGACTTTTTCTCCATCTAATCTTGATTTCTTCTCGTATACTTTGATACGCATCCATCAGTAACTATCTCTCCTGAAATCATGCAAGCACGGCCCGTATAAAAGTATACCAGGCTCTGGGTTTCCACCCCCAAAATGCTTCAGATCCCACTCATCCAAAGCTAATCCATAAAGTAAAACATAACCCGTAAAACGTAAAATCCATGATCTCGTGAAATCGATCATTCATACAAATTCCTGACATAGGTCGTGAAGGGGTCGTTACGTTAAAAATGACTGTTCGCTATGCCGTCATGAGAAACTCAAGAAAATTTCAAAAGTCGACCAAAAATGCCTTCGCTAATGGCTTGCTTGCTTGCTTTCCCTCCGGACGATGGTGATGTTGGAACAAATGAGAAGTTATGAGCGACCACAAAAGAAACAAGGGGTTCGTGGCCATCTATGGCCCGACACCGCCCTCCAATTAGCGGCATCGCTGTGTCTGTACAGGCGAATTATGTAAAGGGGGTAAATAGAAGGATATATGTGCACGGCAGAAACTAGTTGGCGCGGATGACGAGCTTTGACAGGAACTTGTTGGACAAGCAGTCGAAGTCTCGTCGGTCGAACTTGGCGTCTGGTCGCGTCTTGAGGTAGGTTTCTATGGGCATGATAAGTATGAGGCCAAGTTTGCTAGTTTAGACTGCGGCTTACCATGCTTGGTAACATGCTCCCTCATTTCTGTCATGGCTTCACACACGGCCACATTGTTGTTCAGTAATTGACCGTGTCTTCGGGTCTCCCACTCAGTGAAAGCTGGCAGCTTTTGCGAGATGGCATGGAAGAGACCGACGATGACACCGACAGGAGTCGTCTCCATATCGTTGCAGAACTTGTCAACAGCAGCACTGTCTGGGACACGGTAATGCGAGTCGAACTGCATCTCTTCCCAGACAGCAAGAAGAATAGAGGCGATCATGAAGATCGTAGGCCAGTTCTTGAGTCTGTCACCGCTGTAAACGCTGGAGTACAAGGACGACAATTCCTCAAGGATCTCCTTCTGCAGTTCACGCCACATGTCGGCGAGAGCGCACTTGATTTGGAAGTTGATCATGACGGGTGCGATGGTCTTGCCGTTAAATTTGGACTCTTCATCGTCAATGTAGCCCTCCATTGGCTCCTCGTCGCCTCGTTGCTCAACCATGGTAACGTGCAGGGTGAGGTTGTAGGCAAGTACGAGCTTTAATGCTTTCCGGATGACAGGGACCTTCTCCTTCGTGTAGTAGCGATGCGCAGTCTTGAGAATTTCGGTTATGAAGGGCGTGCCTTCAAAGTACTCGTCAATGAACTCCTCAAATGGACCGTCGAGATGTTTGTCGAGGTACTCGGACAGCGCCTCGGTTGAGACACCCTCGGATCCTGCAGACATTCTCTCCGTGCGAACATCAAAGTCCAGTGGCTCTTCATGTTCAGACTCGACCCAGTCGACCGCGAAGCAACTGTCATCACTAACGTATACCTCACGTGCCATGATGGGAATAGCAAAGCCATAACCGTGGGTGATCCAGATCAATTCTTCCTTCTGAGAAAACCCCTTGATGTTGTAGACCGAGACGCCACGACCAACGTGACGCTCGTAATCTGCTCGCCAGTCCTTCATGAAATATCCAATGTCCTTGATGTCAATGCGAGTACATGGCACCTGCCACAGTCTAGCATGAGATGGCTGGCAGCCAGCGCACGGCTCTCCCTTGTCACACGTCTTCTTGAGGAACTTGCATCGTAAACATGCTCGAAGCTTTCTGATCTCACTGGCCTGCTTGCGTTGCTCTGGTAATAATGGCCCACGACGTCTGCCCACACGCTTCTCAGTATCCTTCTTGCCATTCGAGGTCCGACGGATGACAGGCTTTGTTGCCTTGGCAGTCGGACTCTTACGTGGCGCCGAGTTTCTCCTGGCAGGCGGTGAAGAGGTGGTGGATGGTGTGGTTCTATTCGAGGGAGACATCTTGATGGGTACGGGGGCAACGGCGGCGGCAGGACTCACGGTCTGGCTAACCGTCTGGGGTGAGTGATGATGGCTTTCACCATGGAAACAATTTCGGTGGGCAGATTGGTCGACGTAGTTATCAGAGGCAGGTGAGTAAGGAGAGTATGGAGGATACGAGATGTCTTCGAAGCTCCCAAAGGACTCAATTGTGTGGCCAGTACCGTCTGATTGTGACGAGTCCGAGTGACTCCGCAAGTGTAAGGTCTGTCCAGGATTGAAGATTGCGGTGTTATGGGCCTGTTGATAGGCTTCATAATTTGGATATTGCTCCACGGTGGTCCATCCATTATCACTACTTGAACTAGGAAGTGAGAGAACCTCTAGATACGTGCCCGTCGGCGAGTTGCTACCCAAGCTTTGACGACCAATACTCGGTAACCCATCGTTTGCTCCATTGAAGTTCATCGCATTCTCAATTTCTTGCCAGTTTGCCCACATTGCTGCTTGTTCCACCGTCTGTGTCAATCCGTTGAATGGAGCCTCCATCTGAAGTCCGGCTTCGAATGCAGCCTGGGTTGACGAGAGATTGTGATAGTCGAGAGGTGAAGTCTGGAAGTTTCCCCCAAACGCGTTGAACTGGGTTCCCATCAATGAGTTGTCTTGTAAATACTGGGGCAGTTGATGCTGCTGCTGCTGAGGCTGTTGCTGCATCGGCCAGTCTGTGAGGAGTGTTGGGGAATTGTTATGGCCAGCCTGGGGATACTGTTGCTGCTGAGTGTTGTGGCCTGGAGAAGTCTCGCGTCTCTCGTCAGCGGCTCCTGAGGCCATCTCCAGAGGCATTGGCCAACTTGAGCGGGACGCCATGTTTGTGGAGGTAAAAGAATATCGGGTGTCTCGTTGGTCGAAGTTCAGGTCTAAAAGACCTTCTGATGAGAAGTCGAGATTCGAGGTCATTGTCGCGGACAGGTTTAGACAGGAATGGTCAATAGTATTGTAAGAACGAGGTTGGTGACACCGCTCTTTGAAGAAGAGCAGGACCTCACGATGGAAGTCGGTGAGAGGTCTGTTGTTCGATGGCAGGTTAGAGGTCGGCTTTCGAAGGAGCGTGCGATCCACATAAGAAGCGGTGAGAGTGTCGATTTTTCCGGCAGCCGACCCCAGCCTCTTGCCAGCCACCAGCGAATCAACTTCACTGCACAACTGCAACTCAGAGCTCACTGCATGGGGCTACTGCGAGACAGTGGTCAGGTGGCCAATAAATACTGGGCGATACTGCTTTGGGGTCCTTTTGGAGAGAGAGAGAATGGGCGAGGCCTGTATCGAGGTAAGTGGGCAACCTGTAACACTTGCTCCTAATGGGCGTATAGGTCGGTAGATATTGGCGTAGAGAGCCCTGTTCTTCCCACTGCGAGACCACTGAAGGCCCTGCGATAGCCTGCAGTGGGAGGTTTGGTATGCACTATTTAGGGGGTCCTCTTCGTACTCGAACTCGAGGACTTCTTCAGTGAGGATCCAAGCCAAATCCAACTAATATCCCACTCCTGGCGGTTAGTATTAAACTCTATACGATCTATTGACGCCGAAGACTTGTACCATGTCCATATCCTGTCTTAGCCGCGATAAAGCTGGCTCCATCCGCACTCATATCGGCTGTCCAAGGACCATCCTTGGTATGAAGCTATACTCGAAATCTAGTGTCCAACCTACCCCTTCGTTTGCCATACGCACAGCTCTCTTTCTGGCTATGCCGCGATTATCGTACATGAACAGCGGCAACGAGAGCTATCTCGAGATCACCCCACAGAATCTCCTAAATAAGTAGAAGTGCCTCCGTAAACTCATGGTTACAGACAAGTCCAAGGGGCGTTCTTTGTTAGGACCCTTTCCCACTCCGTAGTCAAGCGACTTGATGCTCAAGGCGCGAAGGAAGCTCCACCTTTGTGGATAGGGTATTTGTCTCAACAAACCATGGCATGAAACGAAATGTTGAGTAGCTGAAGAACTGGCCTGATCGAGAATGGGGAAAATATGCAGATGCAGCAATCAGGCCAGGTACACTTGCGTACAGTACAGCATCATGAATCAAACAGCGAGAGCTGGAGAGCTGATACTGCCTTCTGCCCCTCATCGTTGCCGACTGGTCTTGGTTTCAAAGTAGGCGACGGCGACTCGACCCCTCTTCGATCGTCGTACTAGAATAACACCAATCTGCTTTTGGACACTTGTATAGTACTGTAGGTAACTTCTGATGTCCATCAGTAATTTAATATATGCCCGGCGTCGCCATCGCTGCCGTCCCCGCCTCAATATTCATGCACACGATGCAAAGCCATGCAGACAGCCACCCACTGCAAGATCAATTGGCTGAGCTGGTAGCAGTGCGGCAAATGAACGTCAGCGGGCTGCAGTGTATCGCCTCAAGACACAGCACGATCTGTCTTGGAGTGTGAGAAATGAAAATGTCTTGGATTCAAGAAATACATTGCACCGTGACACCTTATCTCAGCGGGAACTATCTGATAGCGGGGTCACTGAGTAGTGCGAGGGGTAACTTTGAATTTACTGAAATATGCTCGCGCAACTGCAGGCACCAGGGAAGACTAGGCTGGGCATATAGCATTTGCATATTAGAGGCTTATTGATAATAACAGTAAGAAAGAAAGGCGAATATAAAAAAGAAAATAAGATCTGAAAGGCTGGGAGTGCACTGTACTGTGGTGTTTTGTGGGTTTGGCCACTCTACGGTCCGTGAGCGAGTCTGATCTGATCTTGATCTCTTGTACGGAAGGGAAGGAACGTCGTGAGCCATCGCTAAAATGTGACAAAAAAAACCCGACCCCAACCAATGAAATATTCAAGTCAAGCTCTAGCGAATCAATGCCCCATTTCAGATGACAGCCTCACATGACATTCCTCATCAAAGGAAAGAGGCTCCGCCGTAGCGTTGCTTTCAAACAACGAAGAATGCCAGTCGGAAGCGCGAATACAGCTTCAGATGCTTCGTCTTCCGCCTCCAGTACCTTTGACCGTTTATTGTACGGAAATCACCAAACCCAGGATCAACCCCAGCGGCCAGGCTTTGTCATCGAAGAGACCTCCGCTGAAGGCGAGGCTATTGATCCTAGCTACACGACCTGGAAAAGACCCTTCACAATGTCGGCAAAAGCAGCGACCGCGAGCTTGATTCCCGATCTTTACACGTCACTACCTCTGATCAGAGATCTTCTCAATACCCAGACATCCCAGGTCCAAGACAAGACTATTTGCGAAATCCTCCCCTTTCTTTCCGGGGCGGAACATATACATGTCAACGCACATGGACTACCTCATCTGGCTAGAAAGAGACATGTGCAATTCCTTCACAAGAACTTGCGGAAGCTTCCTGCTCCATACGTTGCGGCTGATGCGAGCAGACCATGGATGTTTTATTGGGTCCTAGCAGGTCTTCATGCGCTGGGAGAAGATCTTTCGGAATATAAGGAGAGACTTATATCTACTGTTCGGCCTATTCAGAATGCCACAGGAGGATTTGGTGGAGGAAATGGCCAGATGTCACATTTAGCACCTACATATGCCATTCTACTATCTTTGGCTATGGTTGGCGGGAAAGAAGCTTTCGATCTCATCGACCGCAAAGCAATGTGGAAGTGGCTTGGGGCTTTGAAACAACCTGACGGAGGCTTCCAGATGGCGGTAGGAGGCGAGGAAGATGTACGGTGAGGCTCTCATATCCGTAGGATCGGCTCTGTTATTGACTTCATTAGTGGAGCATATATCGCAGTTGTAATAATGACCCTCCTCGACCTACCCCTAGAACTACCACGAGAATCTCCTGCTTGGTCACGTGAAGGGTCAACGTTCCTCACAGGCCTCCCTGAATGGGTCGGGCGATGTGAGTACTCTTCCACAAAGTACAGGAGCAGACTAATTCCCTCAAGGTCAAACATTTGAAGGTGGGATATCTACAAAGCCGGATGCGGAAGCTCATGGGGCCTACGCCTTTTGTGCCTTAGCTTGCTTGTGTATTATTGGCGACCCACATGTTATAATTCCCAAGTACGATTCTTTCAAGCTATTCAATGTTAGGAGACTGCTAATTTTCACAATCCATAGGTACCTTGACGTACCCCTTCTCATATCATGGCTTTCGGCTCGCCAATACGCTCCGGAAGGTGGCTTTGCGGGACGTACGAACAAACTAGTAGATGGTTGCTATAGCCATTGGGTTGGAGGCTGTTGGCCTCTTGTTGAAGCTTGTGTCAATGGTCCATCCTCTCCCGGTGCTGGCAATGGCCCTCAGTCGTCTGTAAGAAGCCTTTACAGCAGAGAAGGCCTCATCAGATACATTATGTGTTGCTGTCAAGACCAGTCAAAGCGTGGAGGGCTACGAGATAAGCCAAGCCAGTAAGACAGCCCCCGTTCGGTATATCTCACTCGTCACACAAGTTGCTGACACCTACATAGCTCATCTGACTCCTACCACACATGTTATGTCCTAGCAGGACTTAGCTCAGCACAACATAAATGGCATTTCAACGCCTCGCCCATGGAGATGGAAAGCAGTGGAACGCTAAGCTCGCCCTATCAGTGGACATCCGAGATCTTTGTTGAAGATTCGCAGATATACGACGAAGAGGATCGATTAAAAACCTTACATCCAGTCTTTGTGATTTCCGAAGGTGCTGCCGAGGAAATGAGAGCTTATTTCTCCTCAAAGGGTGGGTTCTAGCAGCATATGCATGGTTAATTATATCTGTAGTGTAAGGTGTAAAGGTGGTAACAATATATGTATCGCCATGGCGTTGGAATCTTGGATCGCTACTGGGAAGGGCTCCCTAAAAAGATGTGACATCGGAATCTGGTCGAGCGGGGCATTTGAAGGTAATTAGGGTTACGGTCTGACTGTATCTGCACGGTGCAAACTGGAGAACCCGGAATTTGGGGTGGCAAGGGGGGTAAGCCGGCGTCTTGAGTTATTACCTATATGTTACACCTGTTCTTTTTGAAACAAGATTCGGGGGGAATTGACGTTATAGCACTGTACCACATTGTGCTCTACGCCACATCAAAGTAGAGAAAAGAAAAGAAAAAAGTTTAAGATAGGTACAGGAAACCAATCGCATGGTTGAACCAATCCTCATGCAGAGTTGTCATCGGCCGCTAAAACGTGACTTGGACGTGATTGATGGATGGCGAACGGGTATCTGCATTTAACCCAGGAATTTAATGACAGCGGCAAAACACATTATCCTCATCTTTCCAACAACTGATGCATCTCCAGAAGGAAAATTTGACATGTCAGATATAGCAGAGGAGCTGCAGTGGTTCGCATTTTGTTTACAGGGTGGTTGGTGGTGGTTGGCCAACGTCAGGCCACTGGAACAGTTTGGCGAGAAATGATTGGCGCATGGAGCTCCTTCTTTCAGTCAACACATCCACTTCCACCTCCACCTCAACGCAACTCATCTCAAGTGTGAGGGCATATTCATCACATTCCGTGCTGCTGGGCAACGCAGGAGTATATAGGCCACACTCCGTCAAGTCACGACAGAATTGAAAGTCTCCTGAGGACGGGTCCGTGGGATCGAGAGCTCAGCGCATGCAGAGTGCATTTTCTCCGCTCGGTCCCAGGCTTTTCAACGGCTCGCCTCTACTTCATAGTGGGGGAGACTTCTGCAGACGCATGCAGAGCATACGTTTTTCCCGCCACAGGCTCACAGAACACTGGAGGCCCCTCGCTCCCCTCCCTCCCTTGTCATGGCTAGATAATTGGAGCTGATGCCTGTCCAGGCGATAGGACAATGCTTCTCCTGACCATCTCTGGTTTGGATTTGCATTATCTTGATAGCTTCATTGGGGGGCCGGGGTATCGGGCTAGATGGGAGTCAAAACTCAGGTACAGGCACAGAGTACTTAGTTTGTCTCGAATCCGGCAAGACGCAATCCAAAGAATCGAATAGCCGTTGCGACGGGTTCACCAAACCATCTACCCTGCAGCCCTTGTTCTCTCTTCTCACTCTTTGCCCCTCATTCTCGAGTGAGTGGGAGAAGCATCGAGGAAAGATGAAAGCAGCAGCTCCTCCTTCCCCACGGAAATAATATGGTTCCCTTGAACTCCTCTCGCATTGCTTAATATACTCTGCCGTATACCTCTTTCAATCTTCACGGCATATTGGCCTTACTGCTTAAGACGTGGAACGATGAGTTGTCATTGCATGCGTGAGATACCCTGCTCGGCTAGTTGGTCGGCATGGCTGTTTGCCTCGCGCTTTTTCGCCATTCCCACCACTGGTACACAGAGATGGAGTACTGTAATTCTGGGAGAAATATCGTTGATCAAGGTCGGTATACAGCCACTCTGTATGCATTGACTGGCTCACCGACTTCGTGTCAAGCCCTACTCCAGTCATTCCGCGTCAAACGCCGTGGTAGTCGCGACATTCATATGCACCACGACTGGAAGGACGTTTATGTAGTGCGGGGCAGAAAAGGACCCCCATTATTATTAAGCACCTTATACTTTAGCCAGTTGAAGCTGTTGCACCATGACTATTCCGGTCTGTTTTCGATATGGAGGATTGTGTCCCTGGACTAACGATACATACTGAATCTCTGACGTTTTTCCTGCATCCAACCATCGACTTGGTTGCATTAGCGGCCAGCCCAGCGGAACTCAATGGAACACAGTGAAAAATATGGACCGTGTATTTTTTGCAGAGCGCCAAGATATTGCCCCTTCTTCCTGGGTTTTTCTGCAACAATTACCAAATTTTGCCCGGGAGCTATGGAGCGGGTGTTGACCCTTTTGCCACCTTTCTGCATCTACAATTTCAGTAGCTGCAGACGGGCCTTTGGACGGCGAATTGATACCTCTGAGCTATCAAAGATCGTCCCCTAGCATGCGTTCCCATGTTATGGTGGAGTTGCCTAATAACGTCTCGACATTTATCGACTGGCAACGGCCATCGCCAGCACATAACCCTTACAGAGCCGCATTCATGACTTGCAGCTGTTCAACCCTTCGTCCTATCTTAGCAACGCTTCAATCTTTCTACGGAAGTCCAGTCCATGATCCTTGTCCTGCGCTAACACCAGACTCTGCAATAAATCACACATGTCTCGCCGTTGATGGACGAAAGTCCTGCACCAATCCCCCTAGACCACCCACTCAATCAATCAGCCCTACTCTCATCACCTCGACGTTGTCCAAACGCTCTTCTCTTCATATACACATCATTATCTGTGTGCATCGCTCCCTGTATACAACGAGATTGGGCTCAATTGCATCTTCAACGTCAGCACCTTGGGCAAATATCATCAATATCCCTGGCCTCGCCTGACTTGATTTAGCACACCGAGTAGAACATTCCTGGGCCGACGGAATTGTTTCTGAAGGAGATCTAGATCTAGTCAGACATTGACAAGTGAGAGTTGACGGGATTGCAATGGGTGGCTTTTATATGGCATATCTGGAGAGTACGTCGATTTGTTGTTCCTGCGGAAAAGCCTTTACCAAGCCCTTTGGGAATTTTCATCCGATCTAGTCTTCGGCCCCTCGTGTGTTCCCACTTCCCGCTTCCCGCAGGAAAGATGGTTCCTCATTATCTATCATGTCAATCTCTCATTAACTTGCAGACAATGTGGTGTTCTGGTTTCACTACCTGGCCAAGCTCTGCTGATATTGGCCACTTCTGTTCTTCAATTTCCCTTTTTCCCATTGTCTCTATCTCTAGAAAGCAAGGCACTACACAACAATTGCTGTCTGAATAAGCACTGACATGTCGGATAGGTTTGTGTCGACGCCGAGGCTGGCGTAATCCCATGTACGAGACGTACAAGAGTTCGTCGGGCTTTACCTGCCTAGTCCTCGTCAATGGTCGGGAATATCAGACAGATCTCGCGTACGAATCCGATGGGCTGGCTCAGGAGAACGCGGCAATGCGAGCGTTTATGGTATGCCGTAACTTTTCAGTCAATGGAGGCATGCTGGCACGTAATGGCGTTGTCCAGGGACTGCCCGCCAATGAGAGCAGTGGCCGACACAAGAGAAGAGGAGGCGGCCGCAGCCATTCTGTCAATGTCAGCAGCAGCAGTTCCACAACATCTTCCGAATAAGGAGCGGTTCACTGGAAACGTCAAAGACAGCTAAGAACTGGTTGTCGGCTCGAGGCTGAACACTCGGCCATCCCCATGACCTGCTTTCCTTGAGGATGAAACCCAGGGAAAGCAGGAACGCAAGAATGATATTTACGACCAAGAAAAGCATGACGGCCAAACCTCGAAAACTTCTTGACGATCTAACGACGACCATTGATTAATGACAAATCAATGACGACTTTTATGACCCACTGATTTCTTCTTTCAACTTTCGATTAAGACAATGATTGCGGTATGGGGATGCACAGTACCATCCGCGCCGATATCATGAGGCGACTCACTAAACTGTCATTACGGAGAGGCCTTTTTTTGTTTTGCATTGCAATTGCATGCATCTTGCAGGTGTTGAGAAAGGCGGCTTGAAGACTCTCATTTCCAGCGATCTATGCATTTAGCAAGCGTGGCGGATAGCGTTGCTTTTTTCCGTTTCATTTCTGTATGACATGAACGAATTTCTTAAAAGTTAGGTTCGGAACAGGCAGGAAAGGGAAATCTCCACTTGGGCAAAATGGAAGGAAGTTACTTACTTATGATATGATAACGATTGATGAATAAAAGGTACTTTGGGCAACCTCTAAAATGTTTCCCTGTCTATTCGTTTTTCTCGTTTCAGTCTGCGAATCTGAACTTGGCGAGAATCTTATGTGATAGGTCAATGGGTGAATATGAGCTCATAAACACCACGCACCCCCTTGACTTGGCAAGAAGAAGGCAGAAAGTCAGGAGTGCAAAGAACTCATCGTCTATCCACGTATTCCGATATACATTAATAGTAGTAGGTTGATTTAACAAGTTGAGGCTCTCGCCTTGTCGAGACTCGAGACACGGCGGCAATGCATTCGGCGGATCCGAAAGGATCAATATTCAAAAGAACCACGAACATTCAAGCATAAAAATAAGAACTATCGCTCCAGCCCTTAGAGCCGGCTGTGGCGCTTAAAGCTTTGTTGAGCGATCTCCCCCGTGCTTATACGAGGTCGGTCAGCATCACGAGATTCGAAGGAAAAGTGGTCGTGGTGCGTGACTGACAAGAAGTGGTGGATGTACCGGTGCTGCACTTCGTACTTCGTAGAAGGCACTGTATTGTAATGGGTACGATTGTAATGCGATTATCACCCCACGCATACAGAAATAAGAGGAGAGGTACCCCACACCTATTAATACAATCAATCCATCATCGCTTACGCACGCTGAACATACATGCCCTTTGAAAGGGGTACCCGCCGAGAGTTATAACCCATTTCATTCCCTCATCCGTTATTAAATGTTTGCTACCTAGCACGCAAGATCCCGTGTAATAATAATTGGATTAGAATGTTTGTGTGGCTTCAACCGACTACCTAGAAACGGTCCCAAATAAAATCAAAACAATTTCGCAGCAAATGAAACTACAGTAGTACCGTGGTAGTGTGGCGCCGTACCCCTTTTCTGACACGAGGTTACGCTAAACGAGAAATTTGGGATTCGGACCTCGAACTTATTACCAGCGCAAGGTGTCCTCGTCAACCGCACAGCTCCTTCAATCCATTGCAGTCCATTACATACACCACCGCCTTCCAACACCACAGTCTTTGAGAACTGTATAATTGCCTTGCGCATCTCGTTCATTCTTGCGCCCACCAACAGCCAGCCAGCTTCTTCAACAACGTGGGGGTACTAACTGACCCCTTGGACACTCCGTACTCCACCAGCCAAAAATCCATTCTTCTTCCAAGATGAAGGGTAAGTTTGCCCACAGCATAGTATTTACAAGTCCTCTTTGCTGACACAGATAATAGCCCTCATTCTCGTCGGTGGCTTCGGCACCCGTCTGCGCCCTCTCGTACGTTATCCCCAGTCCATGATCTTCGAATGCGCGCCCGCAGATACTCGGCGCCTCACCTACGTCTTCAATGACTGACGAAATTACAGACCCTCACTCTCCCCAAACCCTTAGTCGAGTTCGGCAACAAGCGAATGATTCTACACCAGATCGAGGCTTTGGCAGAGGCAGGAGTTACAGATATTGTCTTGGCCGTCAATTATCGCCCAGAGGTGATGGAAAAGTATTTGGCAGAGGTTAGTGGCACTCAATTGCTTTATTAAAATCAAAATTAATGCTGAGATTGCTCTCAAAATAGTACGAAGAAAGATTCAACGTCAAGATTACCTTCTCCATCGAATCCGAGCCCCTTGGCACTGCAGGCCCCCTAAAGCTGGCGGAAGCAATCCTTGGAAAGGATGATGCGCCATTTTTTGTTTTGAACTCTGACGTTATCTGCGACTACCCCTTTGCGGATCTCGCTGCCTTCCACAAAGCCCACGGCGACGAGGGTACCATCATCGTCACAAAGGTTGAAGAACCTTCCAAGTACGGTGTCGTCGTTCACAAGGCAAACCACGCCTCGCGGATTGACCGCTTCGTCGAGAAGCCTGTCGAATTCGTCGGAAACCGTATCAATGCTGGTATCTACATCCTGAACCCCAGCGTACTCAAGCGCATCGAGCTTCGCCCTACGTCTATCGAACAAGAGACTTTCCCATCCATCTGCGCCGATGGAAAACTACACTCATTTGACTTGGAGGGCTTCTGGATGGATGTCGGACAACCCAAGGATTTCCTGTCCGGAACTTGCCTCTACCTCTCCTCCCTGACAAAGAAGGGATCCAAGCTTCTCACACCCCCGAATACTCCGTACGTGCACGGAGGCAATGTCTTGATCGACCCTTCTGCCAAGATTGGCAAGAACTGCAGAATCGGCCCCAACGTCACTATCGGTCCAGATGTCGTTGTCGGTGACGGCGTGCGCCTGCAACGCTGTGTCCTTTTGTCGGGATCTAAAGTCAAGGATCATGCCTGGGTCAAGAGCACCATCGTCGGCTGGAACTCCACCATTGGGAGATGGGCACGATTGGAGAACGTCAGTGTCCTGGGTGACGATGTTACCATTGGCGACGAGATCTACGTTAACGGTGGAAGCATCCTGCCGCACAAGAGCATTAAGGTCAACGTTGACGTGCCATCGATCATCATGTGAGGGGGTATTGTGTAGTTGAATTCAGTTCAGGTTTTGGAACATCATTGTCTGCGCAAAAGGAGCGCTGGTGCATTCTCCCCTCTTCTTTTCTGTCTATTCATATATCTTTCTCTCTCTTACTGAACAGATGGCAAGCATTGGGTTTTGCAAATGGCGTCTTGTGGCAGGTTGGGATTTTCGTGGATGGACTTTCGATAGTTATGCGTGCATGCAGAAAATAGTTATGTCTGGGCAAGGAGGTTGGGCTTCTCGTGTAAATGTTGATAATCTTAGATAATTACCTTACACATAGGTTGTGCGTCGTAGGGGGTGGTGGCTAAGATTCTTTCCTGCTTGCTTAGTTGGTAGGCTGGTAGACCAAAATGGGGCATGTTATGAAGTAAGCAAAAATGTATTGCTTGATCAAACCATCTTCTGCATACTGTATGTACTATTCGATCCAAGCCTAGCGTGAAAGAAACAGACAGACAAACAGAGAATTAGTTGCGCAAATGGAACATGATTATAAAATCTTCTAAGATTAATTAGGAAGGATGATTAAGGGGTAAGGCAGACAGAACATAGATATCGTGCTGTTGTAGACGGCTGGATAGACATGGAGGTTACATTAGAGCGATGGAGCTTTCATAAAGGCATGTTGTAGAAATTAGATGCCTCGTCATTCCAGATCGCAACTCTCTCAAAATAGATGATAGTATTAGTTTGGGTTGAAAGTCTACCTAAACATCATCTTCACCTCCTCAAACTCGTTGACGCAGGAGCTTGCGCTGGTTAATCAATCTATCATGCAATACCTGAAGATTGAAGATTAAAACTTGGTCATCTGCTAGGCAGTTGAAGATAGATGACAAATTCAGCGCTCAAACCGCTAATCCTAACCACTCTGTGTTCTATCATCTACATACATACATATATATATACAGAAAAGCAAACATTGGCACACAGTGCACAAAGCAGGAACAAATTTTAAAAAAACCCAAAACCATTCCAATGCTTACATACTACCACCCAGTCTAACTATCTAAACCTCCAAGCCCTCCATCATCTCACATGCTGCCATCAAGACTTCTCCGCGCCCACTTCAAACTCATGTCCCGTCGTTGGTTCTTAGCACCTTTCGCTCCCTTCTTCCCCGTAGTCGCAGTCGAGGCAGCTTTCGCACTTGCTGCCGCACTGGTGGTAGCTACTGCTGCGTTGGCGCCTACGTTGTCGAGGGCCAGAGACTGGGTTGGGGAAGCTTTTGTTGTTACCGCGACACCGCCAAGTGCTGCGGTTCCACCGTTAGCTAGGACTTTTAGATTGAAGTGGATGAGAGGATGTGTGCTTACCATCTGCTGAAGAGAGTGCTTTGAGTTGATCAGTAGTGCCCTGCTCCTGGTTTGCTGCAACCGCAGCTGGCAGGTCGGCTTGGTTTCCCTTGACCTGAGAATCGACTGCCGATTTAGATTGCGAGGTGTTGATTTGGTTTGCTGAGTTTGTTGTGGGGGTTACGTCTGTTTGTTGGACGGCGAAGCAACCTCCAAATGGTCCTGCTACGGCGTTGTTGCGGCAGCGGACTGTGCAGATGTTTCCGGTTGAGCCTATAAAGATATTATATTAGTGAAAAGAACATTGATACTTTATGGGAAATGGTAAGTACCTCCGGTGCAAGCCAAGTTGGCGGGCATTGCTACGGTAATGTTGAAGTCGGTGGTCTTCGCTTGGGATAAACCGTTTACGCCAGGAACGTTGTTGGTGACGGAAAGGTTTTGAGAGATGACTCCAGAATTGCTGGTCTGGTCCAGGTCACAGGCATAGGGGCCGGCACCATCAGCATTGACCTGGATATAAGGTTAGCAAACTCTTTCTGATGTAGATAAAAGAGGAACAAACCTGATGTATGGTAACTGTCATCGACGTGCCCTTCTGGACGGAAGTAACAGCATTGGCGGCTAATGCGTTCTCTGTATTCTCTCCAACATCGATGTTTCCCGTTAATTCTGTCCTTCCACACTCATTGACAGTGTTTGCAGCAATCTCAGCATCGCGGATGATGGTGGTATCTTGCTGGCAAGGACTAATTCCTGTACAGTTTCTTGCCAAGGCAGGGTCGACTAGAGAGAGTCAGTCACTCAATCTTCCAATCTCATGATGCACCAGCATAATATCACCTTGAAATCCGACACTCGCTGGCGATCCAGCCACGCCCTGAGCTGCCAGAATTACACCGTGAGCATTTGCCAGTGAAAGCAGAGCCGCGCTACACAAGAAAGATTTGGAGAACATATTGGTTATATGGAAGGAAGGGTGTCCAGCACGAAAAAAAAAGAATGGCTAAAGTTAGAAAGAAAATAAACGAATCGCCTGGATCCTGAAGAAGAGAAATGATGGTGAAGCGAAAAAGATGAGATACGACGATGAGGGCATAATGAGCTTCCTTTTAAACATCCCTCACCTCACATTGTGATGGCTGGTACTGGAACGCCCGAACAACTACCGTCTGTAACAACACTCGTTGCAAAACGGGTGGATCGCAAGTCCCTCATCGATGGTCATCATATCATAGGACTGTACAGTAGTGTGGTAGGGACCTTGGGGGGAAACATGGAATCCATGAAGCAAGAGCCGCCCCCTGACGGCGGCAGCTAGGATGAGAAGTGCAATAAAGCCTGCGTCTCCATAAAAAAAAGCTCAAAGAAGCGGCTACAGTGCAAGTAGAAGATCTTCGCGGTTGCACTTGCTAAAGCTCGGATACTGTAGAGTACTGTATAGATTGTGCACCTGCAAGACATTTTTGCTTCGCGGGAGGCTATAGCGCGGTAGTAGGGGGGTTACGGGATGCCGCATTAGGCAACTCCGCCTTTCTCAAACGCCTGATCTGCCAGAGCGAGCCCGTAACCAGAAACAAGCACCGGTTTCATGATTGGCTTGACCACAGTATTTATTTTAAATCCGCCTATTGACAGGTTTTACTTGGCAGCGGGTCAAACGACTTTCTGAAATTCTGCCACTGCGATATTTGTCTAGGCAGTCAGAAGTCGGCTGCGCAGCCCTGGACTGTATCAGAGATAATCATATGTGGATCGCTGGACGAAGAAGCGAGTGCGATCTATCGTCCGATGAGCTGATTTCTGCTAGGAGGCATGAGATACTACCCTGTTGTTTGTTTCTCGTTTGTTTTCAATCGGTGGATTAAATGAGTTGACTGTTGGCGACTATTTCGAAACGCTATCTTTAAAGGCATGGGACGGACTTTGTATCCACGACGAGGGCAGGTGTGGGACGAGATGAGAACGCATTTGAGACAGAACTTGGTGTCTTTGACATGTTGGATAGTGAACCCAAAGCATGGACGGCACTGTAGGCAATAAGAACGTGATCGAGAGAACGATTGAGAAAGCTCGGATTGATTATATGCATCCTGTTCCCAACAAACTCGATGCAGTATCTTGGAAGCCAGAAACTTTTCCTGATCATTTTGACCGATGATGAATGCTCGTTCCATGTCACAGCTCGCTTTCCAAGCAATCTCGCAATAGCTGAAACCACACCGCAGCACCACTGCACCAGCCATAGAATGCTTCCTATATATACATGAATGATCTCGGGCGTCGAGAAATCGAGACGTACTGGTACAGGGAAAATTGCGCCGTAAAATCATCTAACCAGCAAACCTCAAATAAACCAGTCTTTTGAGGTATCCTCAAGCCGCAAGATCCCCAAAGCACACCCGAACCCCTTGCCTGAACGCAATACCAAATACAATGACCCACGCCTCTTAAGTGATATGTTATGTCGTGTTCTACTCGTCCTCGCCTTCCGCGTCAACGTCCTCGCTCGCTTCCAAAAAAGGAGCATCATCCATTTCCTGATCTCCATTATCTTCCACCAAGGGACCTTTCCCCATCCCCACCAGCTTGCCGAGTCCTTTACCCCCGATGGGCGGTTTGCCAAGGCCTTTGCCTCGGCCCGAATCTCGGTCTCTCCTTCTTCGAGGAGCAGGTGTATCCTCAAATTCGAGAGCCTCTTCCTCTTCATCTTGGTCGATATCATGTTCTTCATCGTTCCTCTCTTCCCCATCTTCTTCCTCTTCTTCATCTCCAAGAAGTACTTCATTCCCTAGCCTGCTCCTCTGCTTCATTAATTTAGGCGGTAACCCAGGGCCACTGTCCGCATTTCCAAAATCCCTCTTAGTGGATCCTTTTGGCCATCGTCCAGGGCCCCGACCCGTTCCACCACTCTTTCTGCGTCCGGTACTGCTTCGCGCACTAGAATGACGCCGTGCCGAACCGTTAGATGAGCGTTGAGGTGTAGGGCGGGCGGAAGTCGAAAGGGAGGACCTAGATCGAGGTGTTGGTCTTGAAAGAGACGAACGAGGGTTGGCACGACTCTTAGAACCTGGAGGCGGTGGGAAGACTTCGAATTGAGTGGCGCTAATAGACGCAGCAGCTTCGTAGTATGAGAGGTTTCTTGAGACGCCATTGACTCTTGATACAGACCTAGAGCCTTCGGCAAGATCACCGTCAGGAGATGTTCCGGCCTTAATGATCTCACCGGATGCAGTGGTCAATTTGCCCAAAGATTCGGTGATGCTATCCGTACCACCGTTAATTCCATTGAAGAAGTCGAAGTCTCTCTTTCTACCATTGGAAAGCTTTCCCTGCTCGTGGATATCATCGTCGTCGTCGGAGTCCTCCCGGGACGCTACTGCGTTAAGATGCGGAACGTGGTCGAATGCAGAAGCATTACCGCGTCCCATAATATAGGGCGTCCAGACTAGCCTCTTAGGATTGATTGCAGCATAGCCTTTTGAGTCATGATGCCGAATGACTTCGCGGTATAGATCTGTATTTAATTGCAGTGCATACACGCCGGTGACAGGATCACGAATTAGAGCCCTTAGTTGCTCGAGTGCTGATATAACATCATCCGGCGTCATGCCGATATCATCAGACATTCTCTTGATGCTAGGGGTCAGATCGCCTGACTTGTAATCCTTCAGGTAGTGACATAAGACAAGCCGCCAATAATTCCGATAGGAAACCAGTCCCATATCCGAGAGAGGCTTCTCAGGAGATCCTGTCTTCTTCTCAACTCGTGTCAAGAGATATGAAAATTCGATGAGAAGGTGGCCATATCCTTTGCGTTGAAAAATTGGAAGTACCAGAATGCAGGATACATTGTTTAGACTTGTAGGTCGTTTTTCCTTCGAAAAGTAGCCGACGAAATGGTACCCAAGCTCATCGTACTCCGTCAAGACATAGAATAAAAAGGGCTCGACGTCATAGTAAAGGGTTTTCGAACCCAAGAACAGTTTTGCAAGGAGACAGAGGTTTTGGCAGTAGAGCGATTGCTTCCGGCCATCGACCTCGAACATAGAAATGTTGCCATCGCGGTAGACTTCGTCGCCGGGCGGATGCTTCCAGGGGCATTTCGTTTTATGGCGCCAGGCTACCGTAGCTGATTCCATATACTTAAGACAGAACTCGCAAATGAAGAGGGCTTGGTTTCGGCTGTACTCCTCTGGGTAAGGTGCAGCGTACCAAATATCGATCTGATACTGTCCAAACTCTATATATTCAATTTGACTTGCAGGACCAGACACTTTTCGAGGCTTTTTTATTCCAGATGCTGCAGATGCTTCAGCGGCGGCTGCCGCCCTAGCTTTCCATTCTTCTTCAGCTTTTTGCCGAGCTTCGTCGAATTGTCGACGGTGTTCGGGTTTTGGTAGAGTCATAGATGTATCCGCCTCAATTTCGGTCAGAATACCACCATATGGCTTCGACTTCAGTTCGTCCATTTCCTTTTCATGGAGTGAATAGAAAGGGTGTTGGTAGCTGGAGGGGATAAATGTAGAGACTGCGGTAGAAGGACGAGGGACTGAAGTAGGGCGGCTTTTCTTCTTTGGTTTCGAAGGCCGTGAGTGAATGCGGGTCAGTTCAGCCGAACCTACCTTGAAGACTAATTTGATGCTTTGTGAGGATCGCTCGAGGAACGTGGCGTGAGAGTTTGGTGATGACTTTGGCCGTAATGATCTTGATGCTCGTGGACTCGTTGGCGCCTGATCACCGTTTGTCTCGGGTTGGTCATCTCCACCATTCGAATCGACAAGTGCTTCAGGATCTTCTGTGGGAACTTCAGCACCTTTAGCTGTAGGCGGCTTCGAGCTGCTAGAGCTAGCCGTCTCCCGGTTCGTCCTTCTTCTGGGAGTAATGACTTCCTCAGCATCTGCATCACCGGATGAAGTTTTTCGTTTGCGTAATAGACGAGAGCCATCCATGGGATCGTCAGGTGCAATCAGCTGATTGAACACAGAGTGGGAATCGGGCTTTATAGTGCCTCTATGGGACGGCAGTAAGTCTCCAGCGATTCTATCCCTGGAAATGCGACGTGCAGCCAGATCAAGACTTTCTTCGGTATCCGGGATAGCCTCTTCTGGGACCAAATTATTGGAAACACAATCTGGACAATACCAGGTCTCTGCTTCTACATATTAGTCAGTGATGCAGCTATTGATCATATCACGTGGTACATACCCTCATCCGGTTTCAGCGCTTGAGAATTTCGGGCGCATTGCCGATGTGCTGCAAAATATTAGTATAATTAAAAAACATGTAAACTTCATAACGAACCATTATCTCCACAAACACCACAAGCCAGATATAGCTCAAATTCCTCACTGGGGTCGTTTTCTTCGTCCTGCTGACAGAATCTGAGGGTCGTTAGTAGGTAACCATCATTCGGTAGAGAATACGCACATGCAGCGATTAGGATTCGTGGGTTCCTCCTCCTCTTCCACTGCAGGTTCCCATTCCACTTCGACCTCGTTATCTGACGAGTCCTTCGACGCATCATCCATACTACCAACGCTTTCGTCGTCATCGTCTTCTGTTCCGGACATGACTTCTTCGTCATCCTCTTGCAAGCCAGGCTGTATTTTGACAGCACCTACACCTTCTCCATCTTCGTCCTCGTCGTCTTCATCTTGGCTTTCTTCTTCGCCGTTTTGGGGGACCAGATCCACCATCTCATCGTCCTCCTCACCCTCAGCATCTTCGTCAGACAACATGGCTTCTTCTCCGTTGGATTCGTCTCCTTCGCTCCGTTCTGCCATCATGCCGATATGTAGCTGATTGTTTGCCGCAAAGGCGTCTGCAGTGTCCTCCCTGATGTCCCCTCCAAGCTCATCGTCCTCTTCGAACTCCGCATCCTCTTCAGATGTCGCGATGCTATGTTGGAGCTGCTCCTCCATGAGCACCGCTGCTGCCATCTTCTATCTGCCGTAGACCATTCGTAGGTGACCGAAGTTATGCGCTTAAGGATTGCTGCTTGAACCGCGGGGGCAGTAGGTGTTGGATTCAGGGGCGATGCGCCTCGGCAGATATGACCACAAAACCAGCCCAAGATGGTCAACTTCTTTGCTCCGATATGTTTATGAGCATGGAGAGCACCGGACTGCGTGGTTTATACCGCTTTCACGATTGTTTGCTCGTAGTAGAGGCCGTTGTAAGGAGATGCGGGTTTCTTGGCGGTCGCGGGGAAAATAATGAACGCGAAAGTTTAAGGCCACAACTCGAATATAATAATTAGAATCTCGATGGAAGTGGAAGTCAATATGCTTCCGACGCGTGAATAAAGCTTAGTTTGACTCAAAATCGGGTTGTGGTGTTGTAATATTGCCTCATTCACGTTCGTAATCCCCAGATGTCGTCCATGAGCCCGCAGAATTGATGACTAATATTTTTGGGAGCTCGCAACGCAAGTGAAGCTAAATCAACGTCAAAGCAAGCCAGAATCATCAGATTTCCGCTACCAGTCAAGCAATTGCGCCTGCCACCACAGTACTTGGTATGAGCGACCTTCCAGTGCAATTGCAATTCGCAATGGAGTATTTGCTGACCCAGTCCCCAGAATCAAATCATCACCGACACCATGGGCGTCCCGTTTGAGGCTCTTCTCCCGTATGCGATCATGCTCGGCGTTAGTCCCCCCCATCTCGAATTTGAAGCTCCGGCCCCCTACGGCGCCTTGTACTAATTGATACAGATGTTTGGCTTTAGCGGAGCGGGACTTTCGAAGCTCAGGCATATGCAGAACGGAGGAAAGAGGGCAAGGCATTCAGTTGATCAATGGGATAGGGTTGGTATCCCCGCAAATCCCCCAACTTTTCTTCATAGCTAACCTCTGTATAGCAAAGTACTTTATACCCTCTTCTCGGGGTGTTCTCACGATGTTGACGAGTATACAGTGATGGATCGTGACCGAAGATTGACGGGATTCCTACGGGGACAGACAGACAACCCAACTGCGCCGCCTGGATTCGAGCTGAACAACCCTTGGAGAGTAGGTTTTCCACGCAGAATGAGCATTTATTGGAGACAATTACTGATTTGCTACTTTGCAGTTGGAGAAGCGCTTCTATTAGAGGATAGGGCTTTCTGGAATTGTACATATGACTCAGTGAGGAACACCGGAAACCGGATAGAGAATACACAGATTACATCAATCCACCGGACTGAAATATCATTTTGTTTGTAATTGTATGCATTGTGCGATGCTTCCAGAGTTGGATCAGTATTGTTATGTCCTCAGGCAGGCTACCAAAGGATATTAAGGTGACATGTATTGGAATGAAGTGCAGGGAAAGAGTGACACTATGTCAACTCTTTGTGTCGGGGTCATAATCTCTTTCACGATTTTTGATTTCCAGTTATGGTTCTCCACTTGCTGGTTATCTTTACCATACGAGTCACAAGTCTTGAAGGATGAAGCATCCTCCATTTCCCTTCTCTACACCGCACCCGCAGTACTGTACCATTGTTCTCTGGCTTGTAATCTTCTCCGTTTTCTGTTAATAGAAGCTCAAAATCCCACATCCTCACCGTTCCACTTTCCTGAATGAACAACGATCGCCTCGAATTGGTTTGTAATCATTTCTATCTATATACCTGAGAATTTTTAATAAAGTTTCGTCAATGAAGTGCAAGGCTTAGAAGTGTACCCAGAGAAAGGCCCAGGTATGTTCAAATTCTCGAGTTCACCACAATGTGTCTACATAGACAAGTGGGGTCTCAGGATATTGTTATTCGCCGAGCCTGTTACGAGAATATACTTAGGTCCAAGATCTTCCTTTCCGTACTTTTGTTCCACGACTTCACCTGCCAATTGATCACTCGCAAATATTCTTACCCCGTCACTTCTACAATCCAAGTGCAACCCTTTCAGCCGAGCTGCGGCGATATCATACTTGCTGATAGACTAGGTCCATATCGTATGCGTTGCAAGGGCATTTGGAGCTATTGCCTGGCATCTACTTCCCTTTCATCAATGGATCTGGAATAGCCACGTACGAGCGGCCCAAACACGTATTTTATCAACCACCATAACGCCTATATCTCAGTGCCCCAGCAAAGCACTCAGCAACGTTCCATCATCCCGTCTTCCCCATCCATGTCCGACGTAATAAATCGCTTCTCCCTAACACACGGAATGCGATGATGCAGCAGCACTTTCAAGATTAATCAATGCCAGACAGGGACGTACTGAAACACATGCACACATACCTACACATGACAAAACCATACATCCAATCTACAGCAACAAATAGCAACACCGACACCGACACCAATATGCCCCTCAATCACCAGCATAAATAATAAATATATGCCCCTCATAACCAGCTACAAACATCTTTCTCACCCACATCACTCTCCTTCACCAGCCCACCAGCCCACTAGCCCCACTAGCCCACTAGCCCCCCAACCCCCACTCCCCAAACCAGAAATTGCACCAAAACCTCGCAGCAAAATATATCTTCACCACACAATACAAACCATATCCTCAAATAATTCAACTCCAAACTTTTACACATTTAAATTGGATAAACATAAATTTGCGCCGCATGGTCCCTGCACGCGTTGCGTTATCCCGAAGCCTGCCGATCTTCGGACTTTCTCCAGGAAATTTTGTGGCTGCGGCATCTAATTTTAGGCTACTGTGCTGGTAGGGTACACCCTTGCCAATGGATTTTTAGACTTTTTTACCATCCGGGTAGGGCTGGAAATATACTTTGGTATGTGCATGGTCTCTCTAAGTACCGTACCGTGCCTTGCCAGGGACGAGGGATTTTTAGAAATCCTTGTTCGTTCCTGTTAGGGTTTACTGTACCTACTGTACCAGAGTGATTCGGTTCTGGTATTAGATATTCCTAGAAGTATATCTGTAAATATACTTAAGATTGGAGATGATAGATTTCAGACGAATTGTATTGCGATGTTTCGTCGTCTATTAATAGTAATATACTGAATTATGTACTTTTGTCCAGGCCTCCTACAATACACAGGCCGTTACCCCTTGGTGTACCACCAACAAGCAGTAGAATAAGTTTTAGGGGGTTGTGAAAACGAAAAAAAGAAAAACAATACTAATAAGAAATAGTGTAAGAGGTATATGCACGCTCACTCTAGTACTTAACGCCACTCGCCGTGCTTTGATGACTCCCGCCGCCATTGTTGTGCCATCCCCAATATGCAAACCTCGCTATGCATATCCAAACCAAGATCAAAAGAATATGTGACACGCTGAATTGAAACTCTGTTTCCAAAAATCCCACCGGGCAAAATGCTTTTAAAAGAAAAACGCCAGTCCCCCTGTCCGTAAGCACAGATTAGCTTGAGACGTTAATGAGCACAAGTGTGTGCATTAGCACTACATTCCTGGTGCACTTGTTGTATTCATGGAATGGCCTCCAATCCCCAGCAAATCATCTCCCATGTTTGTGCTGTGTGTCGCAAGATCTCCAAAAGTAGTAGGAACTAGAGACCCAAAGACAGGGGCGGTATTCATGCGCCCATATGTTGGGGGTTGTTGCATGCCCATACCACTCGCTTGCAGCGCAGGAGACATGTACGTTCTCTGATCAATCCCAAGTCCCCCATAAGCCTGTGCGCTGTGAGCTCGCTCTGGCTGCGAGGGGGCGATAAGATTATGATAATGCATAGCTTGACTATGAGGTGAAAAACTCGGATGATACGAAGGACCTTGCGGTGATTGTTGAAGAGAGTGATCGTACGAATAATTATCCGCCGGAGTGCTCAGACTTTGTGCAGAGTACTGTTCTCGGGGTGACATAGCGGAAGATTGAGGAGATTGGGTAAAGTAACCGTGCTGCTGCTGTGCGAATGGAGCATTGAAACTATCGAAAGATTGAGGACTGTCAAGAGATTGATGTTGACCGAACGTTGATCCTTGTTCGGAGTCAGTCCGGGGGCGTCTTCTCAGCGTATCATCACTATAACCACTCATGGATGCCGTGGATTGGGAATAACCCCGGGGCATTTGTTTGTATTGAGAGGGAGGCGAATGTATCGGGAGCGGCTTGGGGTCGACGTGCTTTGCTTGCATCTTTCTGCGTGGATCCTTTGAATTGGACGATTGTAGTTTTTCCTTTTTATTTTTTTGTTGTTTATATCGTCGCCGTTCGTAATTATTGGAAGCTGGTCCATGTTGTCGGAGTAAGGATCGAGGTTCTTTGCGCAATCTGAGTCGAACGCCTTGCTCACTAAAAGACCGAGTGAGGACAGTTGATTCTAATAATCCCCGGAAGCTCCTAACATCCTCAACCATGAGAGGATCAGATTTGATGGACCGGATATGGAAACACTCTCTGTCGCCCATTTCGTAGAGATTAAATTGCAGTCGAAATACGCCCTCGATCTTGATGGATAAATCGCCGAAGACGAAGAAAGCCCCATCTTTATTGTCGCTATCTTTCAGTCGGTGAAGGGATGACACAAGAGTACCCGCAAGTGCAATTCCTAGAGGTCCTGAAGGTAAAGGACTGTCTTCCGACGATCCTACGAGACTACAGGACATGAAGAAATAGGGGCCTATGGAGAAATAGTAAGCGCTTTGAACTCTCGCCCAGCATAGAATAGCTTGTACTTTGTAAGTAATTTTGGCCGGGATCTAGTTGTGTGCTGATCTTTAGTTGAACAACCGGAGGAGGGTCGACGGGTTTGCGATCTGAATATCTGGTCAGCTAACTCCAACCACACAGCAAAAGTAGACATACTTTTCTCTCCAATAGCAACCACTGCACGTTCGGGTCCTTGCTTGATGTCGAGCTCGCAGCCATTGCTGGAGTACACCATGATTAGTCGGGGTTCTTCGCTGTTGAAGAATGGAACTTCTGCTCGACAAGTGTGGGAGGGGTTTACCTCCTCAGCCCTAAAACTCGGGCTGTGGCCGCGTCCGCGAACTGGTAGGTAAAGTGAGTGATGCTCATAGAGCTGGTAGTTCTCTGTACTGGATTTGAATGGTTGTCCGCTTCTGCTCTCTGTGCTTGAAAGTGTTCCTGTTCCCAGACGACGACAATGATGGTGCCGGGCGATTATATGAATGAATTGGTTCCATACGCCTAGAATAAAAAATAACTGTGGTCTGGGTTTATCAGAGAAACTGCATGGCCGCAAGTGAAATAGTATGATTGTGGGTCTCAGGTCCCGCCTCCAGACCGTTTGAAGATTGGGTTGCGCCTTACTTTGCAACTGTTAAATAGCGTACGTCGTCCAAGTAGTGATGCCCTAGGTAGACTTTAGCTCCAGCAATGGGAAAGTGCCGGGGGCTTTCGAGAGTTATGACGCTGGTTTGCGCAACGTTAGCTAGTGGAGGCTCTTCTCGGTATGCTCCGAAGATCTGCAGCAGTCCTTGATAATCCAGTCTCGTCCAATGTCAAGGCGAGACAACAGGCGCTCGGGAGGATGCACAGGTATAGGCACAGGGTTGATTGGTGAGCTGACAAACGGGGGGGGGGGAAGGCCAGCTTCTCTCGCGTTGGCCTAGGCCTCCTCAAACGAAGACAAAGGAGTTAGTGCTCGTTCTTCCCCGTCCTGGATTAGGGTTCGGATTAGGGTTCGGGAGCGTAGGGCATCAGGGTAGGGTAACGGCCAGACTTGCTTTGGGTGTGCTTGAACAAAGTTTGAGAAGTATGACTGATGGACGGGATGCCGTGGAAAAGATGGGAGCTAAATTCGAGAACGAAGAACGGAGAATTGATTGGTAGTGCTATCTCCGCGTATGTAATGTCGAAAAGAGCTAGATACCTCCCTAGGCATTGACGTACTGAAGTACTGTATACCTAGTAGGTGTGTGTGCGTGTATGTGTGTGTATGTGTGTGTATGGAGGGAAGATGGAACTAGTGACTTGCTACCTGTAGTGTACCACCGGGGGGACTTGTACAAAATCCGCTACAAGTTGCAAGATTAAGAGCCACCAGCCCTCAGAACCGCATACAAGCTAAAAGTATGGCAAATCGTAAGTTAGTCGACTGGGGAAGTGCAGTAGGCTACTGCAAGTGTGACAGCCGTGAGGCAACGTTCGTCTTCCAATGACAGCCACGACTGACAGACAAGTAATGTAATCGG